AATAACCATTGTTTTGTATATGTCTATCTATTTGCCCATTGAAATTTCAGATATATAACATATACTCTCCTTTTAAAAAACAAAAATGGAAATACAAAACATTAAAGTCAGTATAACTACCTCCAGGTACAATTACTGTGGTAAGTTATTGACTTTTTTATACAACCTTTTGAATAATTAGAGATATATATACACACACACACAAGCAATGTATTTTGTGTTTTAAAATTTACATAAATGGTATCAAACTGTGCTTACCTTCCTGCTGTTTGAACTTACACTCACCTGTGTTTTATTTTTTGTTTCTGAGAGTTCTCATAGGTTCTAATGCAATGACACCACCTTGTCTTTTATTTCCTTAAACACAGCAAGAAAATTTTTCCCAATATTTCCAAACTCGGGAGCCTCTGGGTTTTCTATTGCTCCTTACTCACGTTTCCTCGCTTCTTTGTACTCTCATTATTTTCCTCCCTAAGTTCATTTTCTTGGAAAATCATCTGTGGGAGTTCTTCAAGGTCTAGGATGAAGGGGTGCCCTCCACAGAGGGTGCATTTGGCCTCTGCCAGGAGCCTGGGGCAGTGCCAGCTTAGGACTGTTTTAAATAGCTTGGGCCTTACTGAGCCACCCAGGTGATGCGAGTGCAGCTTCAAATCCTCCAGGACAATTTGTGGCGACAGGTTTACTTTCCTACCTTGGTCTGCCCAACACCAAGGGAGCTCTCCCCAGTATTCACTGGGGATAGATTATATTTTACATTTACTTCTAGAAGGCTCTTAGCCTCAGGTCCCCTTTGCAGAGCCCAGCTTTAAATAGACAAGGGTCAAGAAAAGAATGATCTCCCATTCTTGGGCTCCCATTAACGTGGGCTTTTGGTTTCTGCCCAGAGGTCCTGACCTTTGGTTTCTGTATTCCTTACCACGAAAGAGTTTCAAAACCAAGACTTGGCCTTGTCTAAGACAGTAGACACCTTCGGTCTCAGAGTGCTGCTTACTTGTCCAAGCTGCTTTTCACTTAGTTTTTGGCCTGAAAACATCTATCTTGTAGCTCTTTGGTGCTTTTAAGAAAATTTTAAAATACATGTTTTATCTAACAATCTCAGTGGTTTTCAGGGAAAGGGTAGGCCACATCCCAGCCTGCCATCGTCGTGGCCGTAGAGGGCGTGCCTGGAAGGGGTAGGTCACATCCCAGCCTGCCATCGTCACGGCCGTAGAGGGCCTGCCTCTCATCTTTGGTTGGTTCTATAAAGCCTACCTTGCTATGCTTTACTACATTTATTAACACCCTCTATTATTTTTTAGCCAGAGGTAGGCTGAGTCTGTACAATGAAATGTGCTGGGGATGCCCGGCCCTCATGGGTTTGTCTGGGACCTCCAGCATCTCTGGCATTCCCTGTGCTGCTTCCCACTCCCCCGTGGACATCTGTCTGATAAACAGGACGTGTTTACTCTTGTTTATCATGTGGAAGTTGAGGATTCTTTATTGACAGTGGTCAAGGCCAAATGGTTATATTTAGATCTAAAACCGTTTGTTTTCAAAAAGATGTTTCTAAACATTTGAAATATATCCCTATTACTGGAACGTGATCAGAATATGGAAGAATGGAACAGCCCTATTTAATAGCATACCTGCATTTTTCCTCAGTGTCCAGAAGGAGTTGAGAGGGGAGAAGAATGGGATTTAGACTCTTCATTTCCTCATTTAAAGTGAAAATAGATCTAAAGAAATACTGACCGAGTGTCGGTGGCCCTGCCTGCACTCGTGTCTCAGCTCCCTTCAGATGCTTCTGCGTGGCTGTGCTAGACTGGGGAGGCCCAGGCTCGGGTGCAAAGGTAACAGGAAAAGCAACAGGCTACAAGGCAACATGGAAATGACCCCTGTTTCCCCCAAGGTCAAAGCATAAGCTGCTGGTGATTCTCACCGAATATTTCATGGGTTCCACACCCCATGCCTGATATCTGTGAGGGCCCATTTCCTCGGACCACCCCCACTGTCCCACAGCCATCATGTCCTAGCTGAAGTCTGGCAGGAAGCCAGCATCTTACCCAGGCAGCATCCCTGCATGTGACCTGTTTTGTGTCTCCATCTATACCACGTCCTGGGCATGGTTGGAGGAAGCAGATGGTGTCTGTGCTGGCCTGTGTTTGAGGTCAGAACTTGCAGTCAGTATCTCAGCTCTTTGGGCTTGTATCACTGTGGTGACCGTATAATTTATCCTCTGAGGCAAGAGTCTTGTCTGTAAGAATGTGATTAATAATTAAGCAGGACCATAAACATAAATTGGGAATGTACCGGGCAAACTAGAATGAATGGCCGACCTAATTATCGCCTACAAGTCCACAATAAATCCAAATATACGGTGAGGTATTATAACATATACCTCGATTTTTCTCCAGTGTTGCAATAAAAACCTGACATTATCTTTAGTCCCAAGGCTAGTCATACTTCGCAGCAAAACTGGTATCAATTATTTAATTCCCCAAGTCTTTCAATTTTATGAGTACATGCATTCATTTGTACATTAACACTAATATCTTGCTTCTAGATTTCTGCTGTCTTATAGGAAAGGAGCTTGATTTGTTGCCTTAGTTTGTTACACAGTGTTTGCTGGTCGGGTCATGACACTTTCAGATGGTAAATTCACTCCATCAGTGATGGCTGTAGGTTAGCAGCAGCAGCTGACACTGAACTCGTTGGCTAATGCATGCCAGGCATGCTACGAGCTTTGATACCGCTCTTAAATCCTCACCCCAAACTGTGAGGAAGGGACTCTTCATTCCCATCTCGTCTCACCAACGGGGACACACCTCAGCACTAGTAAGCATGGACCCAGTTGGATATACAAAAGCCCATACTCTTGGGTCCTTATTCCTGGCTAGGAGTTTGTTCTATTTTATAGTCTATATCCCGCTGATGGTCCCTTTAACGGAAACATAGAAATGCAACTTCTAAATCTGTCCCTCGTGCAGTGGCTCTTCGTGGCCCAATCCACGTGCTGCTCCGACCTGGCCTATCCTCCACACAGCTGCGGTTGACAAACTTCTATTATAGCTCCCTTTACTTTTCAAAGATGCGGTGATTATACTGTTGCGTTCTTTCATTCGAGCCCCAATGGCTGAATAAATGGAATTTTAGTGTGATCTGTCCAGTGAGGTATTCACTTCAAGTGCTTTAAAATTGTTTTTGCGTGTTCCTGGATGTCTGGGGTACTGAGTGCTGTGACAGAGGGTTTGCTCACTTGTTTAGGATGTTCAGTCTCCTCGGGGTCCCAGCACATTCCCTGCAGACTTTCTGCGTGTTCATGAGGGTTACTGGGCTCCACAGCCCAGAGCAGAGGCGTCTTGGCCCCCATGCTCACCTGGGCCCAAGAGGAGAGTGCTGGGTCTAACACTTACCGGCTTCTGGACCCAGCTCCAATAAGTGCCCCCCTCAGAGGCAGCCATGGGAAAGGCCCCACGAAAACAAGTGGTTTTGAGTTGACCATTGGCTGCTTCTCTCATATTTCTGTCAAGCATTTTAAATTTGTGTTGTGAGGGCCCACTGAACGAATCTACATGCTGAGAATTTCCTGCCCACTGTTTTATTTACTCCTCATGACCATGCTGTGAGGTGGGTTTTACTTATCCCGTTTTCCAGAGGAAGAAAATGAGGTTCAGAGAGGTCAAGTGACTTGTGCAAGTCCCAAAGCATGGTCTTTGGGTAAAACCAGAGGGGACTCTCCTTCAAGGCCATGCTCTCCCTCCCTGGCCTCTGGCCAGGTAGCTCCACTCCTTAGCCTCTTTACAGAATTTGACTGGGCCCTGAAACCCATGTGTTGATTCTTTGTGTTTTGTTTTGTTTTGTTTGTTTGAGACAGAGTCTCACTCTGTCGCCCTGGGTAGAGTGCCATAGCATCATAGCTCACAGCAACCTCAAATTCCTGGGCTCCAGCAATCCTCCTGCCTCAGCCTCCCAAGTAGCTGGGACTACAAGCACCCGCCAAAATGCCTAGCTAGGTTTTCTATTTTTAGTAGAGATGATTTTCTATTTTTTTTTTTTTTTTGAGACAGAGCCTCAAGCTGTCCCCCTGGGTAGAGTGCCGTGGCATCTCAGCTCACAGCAACCTCCAACTCCTGGGCTCAAGCGAGTCTCCTGCCTCCGCCTCCCAAGTAGCTGGGACCACAGGCGCCCGCCACAAAGCCTGGCTATTTTTTGGTTGCAGCCGTCATTGTTGTTTGGCAGGTCCGGGCTGGGGATTAGAACCCGCCACCCTAGGTGTACGTGGCTGGCGCCTTAGCCGGTTGAGCTATAGGCGCCGAGCCACGATTTTCTATTTTTAGCCCTACTCCTGCTAGGGCTGGTCTCAAACTCCTAAGCTCAGGTGATCCACCCACCTCAGCCTCCCAGAGTGCTGGGATTATAGATGGAGCCACCACACCTGGCCCATGTGTGGATTCTCTGAACCCATCACTGGGCAGTATTTTAGGGGAGAACTTGAGTACATCCCATGCAGCATCCAGGACAGGTGTTCAGCATGTCACACATGTGTGGTGGGTGGGGATTACCACCCTCATCATCTAGCTCAGTCACACTTGACCCCGTCCTGCTACTTGATTCTGGCAAAATGGGAGAAATGAATGCCATGATCGGGAAGGTTTTTATCAACTTCTCATTTGAGGCCTGTGTAAGTTGAAAAGAAGCTTTAAAGCCCAGGGCAAGGTGTATCCCTATTCACGCTGGCAGAGAAACCCACCACACACTGAGCCCCCACCCACCCACCTCTGAGCAGCGTGGGAAGGGAAGACCCACATCCTGTGTTGGTAACACATGAGTCTGTGGATAAGTCTTTTAAGTGTCAGAGAAGATCCTGGCAGAAAGGTTAACAAAGTCAGCACCCTGCCCCTTGTATGGGGAGAGGATTATGAGACCCATGCTGAGCACAGTGTTCCCGGTATTCTGCTGGCTCCTGGGGTCCCTGTCTGGTTGGAGAGATGAGTGATCAGACATCCTCTTGTTTCTTACAGGGAACTCATAAGCCAAACCCTCCTCAGAAGCCTCTGCCCGCAGGCCCTGTTGGCAGGACGACTCGGTTCGGCAGCACTCCGGGGAGGACCCTGAGGCAGCAGGAGCCTGGGCTCTGCCTGGCACCCCTCAGGTTAGTGCAACGTGGCCATGCCCTTCTCTTTCCCTCTCCAGTGCTATGGGGCAGCTGACCCAACCCCAGGTGGGACATGGGTGTGGTGGTCTGCTCCTGCTTCCTGTACTCCCCGCAACTGGGAACAACATAAAATAGATAACCAGGAAGGAAGCAGTCGGTGTGAGCTGTGATCACAGACATCACCACATATCTCCTATTGCCGACCCCAATGCTCCTAAGAGATCAAGATGAAGCAGAATTAGACAGCAGACCTCAGAACACCATGGCTGCTGCCTCAGGCCCGGCCTTGTCTCCCAGAGACACAAGAAGAAGTGCTGCCACATGCTGTACAACCCTGAATGCTCCTCTCCAAAACCTTCACCAGACCTTGGCAGACTCTGCCTAATCCCTGGGCCCCTGAGACGTAGGTTGGGGTGGAGGGTCACAGATGAAACCAGAGGAGTAGGGGGAGCAAGGCAAAGGTGCTGCCAGGCAGTGGGATGCTGGGATAACTGGAAGATTCTTTAAACAACTGACAAAAGGAATCGCCCTAGTGGCTGTGGCCGATTGGAGAGGCACAGGCCTGCACGCTAACTCACACAGCACGACCCAGGGGAGTGCTGAAGTCGGCTCATGCTGGTTGGCAAGAGCTATTAAATTTCCAGGAATTTTGAAAGCTGGTGTTAAACCTAGCCACTATTAAAGAGTAAATGATGTAAACTTACAATGATCTAAATTATACTAAAAACAAGGGTCATAATAATTGCTGAAAACTTTCCACTTTCAAAAAACATTTTAGTGCATTTTGCTATAGTTATTAATATCTGAGCTCTTAACGTTGTGTGCATCTGTCAGCTCCAGATGGTAGAAATCCTACATGGAGGTGGCTGCTGGCACCTCTTCCATGTCAGTTGACGTCATGGTGGTAGTTCGAAATCAGCCATGTTGGGAGTATTTACACCATGGAAATTGGCAAACACTACAGATCAGGCTCTCCTTCCTCAAACCCCCATGGGGTTGTTAAACATTTGCCAGCACACAGATGAGTTAAACCTGCAGCCAAAGCACTCTTCCGACTCCCATGCCCTCTTGGCAGGAAGCTTGCTTTATGAGCTCTGAAGAATCAAAGGCACCGTGCTGGCCAGGCCCTGGGTTCAATAATTCAGTATCACTAAAGGGGAAGACACACTGGAGGGATTTCATTACAGCTCTCAGGAAGAATGCTTTGGCCTGTTAAAGAAATAGCTGCCTAATAAATCTCAGAGATAAAGCTGGTCAAAGGGTTAGGACAATGGTTTCATTCCCGACTGCATAAATACAGAAAAATTGCATAGCATCCTAATTATTTCATTGTGGTTTGTCTGTTGATCTTAAAGCTACTTTCCTTGTTCTTTTTGAAGAGAAACACTACTTTACATGGACATGAGGGCAAGGCCCTTTTGGTAAAATGCCCTACAGCAGTGGCCTGTCTTAACCTCTGCTGGTTGCTGACACCACTGCTAGCTGACTTGGGTCCTGTCCTGTTCCTTTTTGAGGGATCCCTTGTGCCTGCCTTTGCTCCTGTTTGAAGAGCCAGTACCCCCAAAAAGTAAACTATGAGTTTTTTCTATTGATGACATGTTGAAATACTGCTATTCTAGATATATTTGGTTAAGTGAAATGTATTGGTAAATTAATTTCACCTTTTTTTTCCTGTGGCCACTAGAAAATTTCATACGTGGTGGATCACTTTTTTTTCTGATGGACATCATTCTTCTGGAGTCAACCTGTGGCTGGGAGGGTGGATCTGGAGAGGGGAGGCTGTCATACCCCACTGGGCATCCTGTAGCCCTCAGCAAGGTCCCCTGTGTGATCCCCAACTCCTGCCAAAAGCAAGAGTGGCCTCCAGCCCCCAGCAGAGGGGCTGTAGGTTTGACCTAGGAACGCCTCCAGACTTCAGGAAGACACCTCAACAAATGGCTCTCAAGGCCTCTAACTGTACTTTTGCTTTCTCCTCTCAATGCAGACCTGCCCCTAAGTGCCCACACCAAGTGCCCAGACCCACCCACACCGCCTACATCAAGTGAGAAGCCGACACCTTTTCTCAACAGTGAAGACAGAAGTTTGCACTATCTTTCAACTCCAGTTGGAGTTGTTTTTGTACCAACTTTTAAAAGAAATTTTTTTTAATGTTTAAAACACCATTATTTTAAGGACTTTGAGCTACTGCCGTCAGTGCTGTGCTGTGCTATGGTGCTCTGTACACTTGCTCAGGTACTTGTAAATTATTAATTTATGCAGAATGCCTATTACAGTGCCGTGTGCTGGAGTAGGCGTTTTTGCCATCACTGAGTTTTCCATAGAAGGAAGGCTTGTTGTGCTTTTAATGTTTTAGTGAACTTGAAATATCCTGCTTGCGGGGCTTCTGGACAGGATGTTAACTTTCTGATCAAGGCGTTATTGGAAAGCATTTCCTAGCTACCCAGGGCTGTGGTTCTGGCACCAGACCCCAGGCAAAGCACCCAGTGACTTTCTGGAATTTCATCAGGCCAGACCCGAGGAGCTTTAGGTCCAAGGCTGCCCTTGGCTCTCAGGGAGGCCCCCAAGGGCTACACCTTGAAGTGTGGAGCCAGCAGGGAAAAATCTGGTTTCTGGCCAAGAAGCTTTGGAGAGCACTTGAATTGCAGAACAGGAATTTTAAGGTGTGACCACACCAGGGTAGGGAACAGAGCACTGGTCAAGCAGACACTTGACCTTGAGCTGACCAGCCGTGAGCACAGGTGGGGAGCAAGCAGCATTGCCCTGCAGTTGGAGATCTGTAGTGCCACTCGAGGTTTTGCTTTATAGAAGCACCAAGAACATCTTTCTCTGGCTGCCCTTTGCAGAGTGCTGGCATCAGTTCGTGTAGACTGAGAAAGGTGGTGTTTCTACAAGAAAGTGACAGTGCAGGCACCACAAACCTCCATCTCCTCCTACAGTTGGCACTAAGCAAGTTACCACATTGTCGTTGTAATGGTGATACTATGATCCTGTATTCAGACAGACAGGTGAGGCTGTCTATGGGACCATAACTAATTTCAGATGTGAACCAGAAACCAGATCTAGTCAATTAAATCTGTAAATTAAAATCTCCTTTTGCTGCAAGGTTCAACTTATTAAAAATTAGGCAGAATCCCTATGCCTGCAAAGATTACAACCAAATGGTATGCCATCTTCCCTGGTATCACCTATGGCTGCCATCCATAATGGCATAGTCTGAAAAAAGAACTGTAAGTCACTACTAAGTTCACTTTGGGGCAGCCTATTTTCCCGGTTTGGCTGCAGAAATCTTTAAAAGATGTTTTTAGTGTAGAGTCGCAATCTATTTCTTAAACATGTATGACCTACCTGTGGAGCATCATAGAATATGATGAGATCAGTTCCTAATCCTAAATATTCATGAAATTCTGGGGTGGGAAGCAGCCCCTTCCACCTTCTACTCTTCAGATGTCTAACTGGGGGGCCATTTTCATAGGAATATCTTTAAGATGCCTATACGGGTATCTAATGGTATGAAAAACACAGAAACAGACAAGGTGAAATACCATCCTGCCTCCTCCTGTCTTCTCAGGGGTCATGTGTGCCTACTTTTCCCATTAGGAGACAAGTGACCACAGTTCCGTAATTCACTCTGGGTGTTCTGTGCTTTGGGGGTCATTTCAATGGTTTTCCTACGCCTTGAAGCAGAAAGAAAAATACGTACCAAGAATCTTGGTTTGCCTTCCAGAAAACAAAACTGCATTTAACTTTTCCCCATTTTCGCCACTGTATCTAGGCAACACAGTATTCATGACTATGAAGAAACTAAAATTCATGTCACACACACCACACACACACAAGGGAACCCAGCTCTGACACATTCCAACTCCTGTAGGATGCATCTGTTTACTATATAATTTTTTCTTAAAAATGTAAAGCCATGCTAGAAAATATTACTGCTGATGAGACACATACAGAATGACTATAACTGAGATTTACACATTTGCTAATTGTGTTAAGGCCAAAACCTATACTATTGACAAGGTTTACAGAATTTCATGGTGCATTATGTGGGCATTGTCTTTATAGATGCCCAGACCCTTAGATTGAGCATTTTAGCCTCTCCTCCTATGAGAAAGGAAATGAATGGATTTTCTTTTTTCTTCTTTCTTAGCTGTAATTCCTGTGCTTCTATTTCAGGGAACCAGGAAAAGTTTGTATTAAAGGAGGTTAAAACTGTGATCTTACACCGTGTCGTCAGGGACCACTTAGGGGCTGTGGCTGATGACACTCTTATCTCTACAGTACTAATTTGCTTTTATAGAGCCATGCAATCTACTTCTGAATAAGATCATATTTAAAACTAATACTCCCTTACAATACACAGATAAATGTTATTATTAAAGGAATAATATTTCCAAGATGCAATATTTATCAAATGAAGCATATTTAGCAATAATTTCCATTTTAATATAACTTAGGAACCAGGGAACTGGGAGGGGGAGGGCATTCCACTCCCTTTTTATATCCTTACAAATGATGCAAACAATTGAGACTTGTATGTCAATGGCAATCTAATATCTGTTCTAATTGTGTAAGCATGAATAATAGAGTCGGTTTGAGTTTTATTAGGCAGAGAAAGCCGGTGTGAGCAGACACAGAGGAGGCCCGGAGGCCAGTTACTTTTCTTCCTATATCTTATTATAGTTGTAGGTTATATGACCCCACTTTATGAGTTCCAGGCAATTCCATTTAAAAGTTTATCTCCTGAAATAGTTTTTTTTAACAGTTTGTTTTCCTAACACATGGACTCAGATGTGTAGCAACCAGGAAAAACCGTGCATCACATTTCCCACTGTCCAGCTATGCACACAGAGGTCACCCTTCCCAGGGTGAGTTTTTCCGGCTTACACATGTGGGATGACATCACAGAAACCACAAAAGCAGCAAGTTAAACTATATGAGAATAAATACTTCTGACTAGTCTCACAAGGGACATTGTTATGCCTTCTTAACTTTATGAGGAATTCTCAGGCTGAAGCTATAAGCCATTGTTCTCTGGCAAATCAGTACAACACATCGATGCATCTCCTGAAAGAAAAGCTGCTCAAACTCTGATCAGTTTGTTCCTGGGAGCCTGTGATCTCCCGTGGTGCTAAAGGGAGCCTGGTGCTGGGCTGACTGGAATGCCCGCACCCTCCTGCCACCCTCCGCTGATGTTTACTGAGCGCTCTGAGCCAACAAGACCCCCAACAACCAAGGGGGCCCGATGTGATGCCTGGGCAGCCAGGCTGGGTCCTTGCAATGCACCCTGACCTCTCGTAGGCTTTCCTCTGTAGGGCTCCCCGAGGTGTTCTGGGAGCACAAGGCCCTGGAGATCCTTCCTCATTGCTCTCTACGTGGCCTCTGCCAGACACAGTGACCCAGATTAAAGTCACACCAACCCTCCCAGAAGTCTCCCAACACCAGTGCTGACCCAGAGGTGTGACTTTCAGGCTGGGAGTTTCATGTGCTATAAAAGATGGATGGGGGACACTGCAGGCACCAGTCTTTCCCCCTAAGGCTGCCACAGGTGTTCCTAGGACTCAGCAGCAGGCTCACCCACACCTATGGACCCAAGAAGCCAGAGGCTCCCACATCCATTTACCTCTCTCTGTCCCCAGACATAGTCCCTTTCCCAAGCCAAACCAATGCTGATGCCTCACCTGTCTCCAACAGTCAGGCGATGGTCTCTACTTCCATCCCTACTTCAGGGCGCCCAAAGTGGCAACTACTGCTGGGTGGCTGCCCCTGCAAGATCCACCCACGGGGCCCACAGAGCCCAACCTCACTGGGGAAGGGGGACGGGCAGCCCCTCCCACATCAACCCGCAGTCACCTCCCACCTGATGCCAATTAGAAGGGGAGCGGGTCACAGAAAAACAGCTTATCTGTGACTGCAAAATTCTCCTGACTCATGCTAAGAGTTCCTGTGGACATCTGTTGCAAACCTATTTGGAAACTGATAGCAAAACAAGTAAGGCTCTAAGAAAGATTGGTGAGCCCGAGCCGAGAGCCGTTCCTGTGCAGTGAGGAGGTTTCCAGACCCCACGTCACCTGCGCGTGGAGGCACCATTCCCCTGCTGAGGGTCCAGCCATTACAAGCTTGTGTCATATGAGATAAAATTAGGAAAAGAAACACTGTATGAAATTGTTAAAGGGGCAGTAATGGACGGTGATAGCCAGAAGATTTAACACACAATTAAAATCTGAATTCGACTCTTTCAGGTTGAATGCCCTGTAACCCACCCTGATTTTCCATATCACCTTCAAAAAACATGTTCTATAGTCCCTGTGATTCTCCTATAAAGTAACTTTGTAGTCAGTTTAGCACATTTTAAATCCAGGCAAAAGAATGTCACATGATTGTTTTAGTTTTACAAAAAGGTTGAATGATAGTGGGTGTTCGTGGCCTACAAACAAGCAGGAACTTCTGTAGGGCAGTGGCAGAAAAAAACAAAACAAAAAACATCTTTAAGATGCCAAGGCAGGACAAGTAGGTGGGAAAGCTGATAGTTCTCTTGTCCCTTCTTTTAGGTCAAATTGGTAGGTTTTGGGAAGGCCCATTGTTTGAATGTGTGCGGCAACTGTCGGTATAACTCCTGAACTCCTAGAACTTGGCTACAGGCTATTTCGCACAGTACAGATTAAAGTCACAGCTACATAAACCAGCTCATTAATTTTATAGTGCTTCATCCATTTATAATGCTTTGGTTTACTAATTTTTTCACATACCTTTTTATGTTACAATCTGTTTCTTTTGTACGCATTTCTCATCCTGGGGTTCTACAGGTAAACGCAACCTGCTATTTCAGTAGAAAGTTACTGTTAAGAATATGATACCCAATAAATGGTATTCAGATAAATAGAAAGATGTGTCTTATTTGTTATTAAGAATGTTACCAAAATGGAAGAGCATGTTCACATGGAAAAACGTATGTTCTTTTATAGATGCATAAATTCCAGAATAGTACATACATAAGAAAATAAAAAGAATGGCTGGAGGGGGGAGGTCAAGGGGAACATGTTACCCATCCTCATTAAATATATCTGGGACAAGGAGGGCAGATACTGACACACAAATGGGGGAAAGGGAGGCCTTGTGGGACACTTGCACTAGACTGTTTATTGCAGCTCAATTTACAATTGCCAAAATGTGGAAACAGCCTAGATGCCCACCAACCCAGGAATGGATTAACCAGCTGTGGTATATGTATACCATGGAATACTATTCAGCCATTAAAAAAAATGGAGACTTTATAGCCTTTGTGTTAACATGGATGGGAGTGGAACACATTATTCTTAGTAAAGCATCACAAGAATGGAGAAGCATGAATCCTATGTACTCAATTCTGATATGAGGACAATTAATGACATGGTAGGGGAAGGGGAGAGCAGAGAGAGGAAGAAGGAGGGAGGAGTGGAGAAGGGAATAGCAGAGAGAGGGAAGGAGGAAAGGGGTGGGGTCTCACACCTTTTGAGGACAAGACACGACTGTAAGAGGGACTTTACCTAACAAATGCAATCAGTGAAACCTGGTTTCTTGTACCCTCAATGACTCCCCAACAATAAATTAAAAAAAAAAAATAGGTTTCTTTAACTTATTTACATAAGAAATTTGAGAGGAAAGCAAGGAGTGGTACAGACCTTTATATCAGACTCATCTCAAATGAAAATCTAAATGTAATATCACAAAAATAAATAGCATCCAACTTCACCAAGAAAGATCTACAGAAAATGCAAAGAAAAAATATATAATGACAACAAGAACAAAAGGGTCTTTATTCTTACCACTCTCACCCATGGCAAAGCAAGTAGGCAAAAGAAAGTACAAAGAAGATGTCAAACTAGAGTGTAAATATCTTAACACAATAACTAAGTAAATGACAAAGTCTATGTTAACCAGTTTGATGAAAATATTTCAAATTGTATATGAAAACACTACACTGTACCCCATGTTTGCATTAATGTACACAGCTATCATTTAATAAAAAAAAGAAGATATCAAATGTAATGAATGTACCTCAAATAGGATACTCCAAACCTACAGACGATACCGTCTCTCCAAGTTCCTCTGAGAAAAGAAAACAAAAAGGATAAATTCTCAAAAAATTATTGTGCTCTAGAAATATAATTATTTAGTCAGAGATGAATTGCATACTATCTAGAAAATAGGGGCAGCGCCTGTGGCTCAAAGGAGTAGGGCGCTGGCCCCATATGCTGGAGATGGCAGGTTCAAGCCCAGCCCCCCAGCCAAAAAAAAACAAAAAAAAAAGACAAAAAAATAGAAATCACCTGTGACAGTTATGCCCTTTTTCCTGAGATTCTAATTCAAAGGGTCTGAGGCTGCCTCAAGAAATCTGTATTTAGCAAATTCTCCCAGTTGAGTCTTTTCATCAGGGAAGTTTAGAAAACTACTTCTGGTGATCCAGCTGAAGCGGCACTGAGGGGAAAAGTCATAGCCCTAAATACATACATGAAAAATGAAAATAAATAAATTTAGTATCTGCCATTGAAAAGTTATAAAAGGAACAACAGAGTAAACCTAAGAGAAAATAGAAGAGATGAATCTGCAGAAATAAACACTTAGAAAAAAAATAGGAGTAATGGAGCCATGAGCTGCACTCTGGGAAAATTAGAACAGCATTTAACCACCTTCTCATCTGACTAAGCAGAAAGAAGAACACACATGCACAGCACATGGGCATCTGGAGTCCAGCATCACCAAACAGGGTTCCCTCAGGGCTACAGTATGGCTGAACACCGAGGGGTGGGGGGGGTGGGGGGCAAGGCTGCCAGGTCTGATGTCAACACAGTGGGAACAGCAAGGAGTCTTTATTCTCACCACAGAGGGGCCGAGTGAAAACAGTCTACAACAGACCCAAAACTGAGGTGCATGTCAACATTGATCGCCAAGAAAAAGGAGCTTTGCAAAGATGTGACTATGCTGCTGCTTAGATTTTAAAACTCAGCTCTAGCAAATCTAAAGGAACATGCCTTGTGCAAAATGTAAGATACTAACAAAAGAGCTTAGGACGGGCCCAGAGATGGCCCACACATCAAATTCCTAAGGTGAACATTCTACGAACTACGTGAAATAAAGCTGAGGGTTGTCAGCATCAACAAAACTGTGTGCTTTTTCCTCTGTGTCCCTCCACAAATACATTGGAGCTTTAATGACCCTTTTATCAGTCTTTCCCCACAGAGACGATTCTACTCTTGTGCAGACTTTTGAAGCTGGTTTTCTCACAGGGCTGAGTTAACCAGCTTGCCCCTATAGATGTGGAAGGCATGGGGCCTGCCAGCCAGCTTCCGTGCCGGTTTTGAAGTGTGTTTCGGAACTAAAGCTCCCCCACATTTGTGTCATAAGGCTCCCAACCAGCAGACTTAGTTGTGGTTAATTCCTACACGTCTAGGAACTGCACGATCAGCATCAAAAACCCTTCTGCTCTGAAGGCTAAATTTAATATGCTGCTCTTTGGCAAAGTCATCCAGCTGCCAGCAGGCCAGGCCTTTCATCCATCGTCTGGGCACGAGGATATGCAAACACGTTCGCAGACAGGTCTGTTCTGAGAAGACTCACCCTTAACCAGACACCTCTTACAGAACAGAATCAGTCTTGAAAGACGTATTTCGAGCTTTGATGTGAGGCCAACAGCTGAGGAGAGAACTCCTGGGCTTTCACTCTGGGACGGTCACTCCGGGAGGGAGCAGGAGGCTGACAGTGCAGCCGGGAGGCCTGGGGCTGGGAAGGGAGCTCTAATTGAGAACACGTGAGGGCAAGAATTCCAGCAAGGCCCACAGTGGCTGGGAGGACGGCTTGAGGGGCAGGAGCCGGAGTGGGGGACCTGTGTGTATTTGTGTAGCTTCAGTGCATAAATATTTTGCTTCATGTCTAACTCCAAGAGGCACAAGTGCAAGAAAACATCCTGGTCCCACAGCCAGACGCCTAATGATGACACCACATACGCACGTGTTTAAGTAAAAGGATGCATTTTAAAGGAACAGCTGTGTATTACAAAAAAGTCACCGTGGACCTTCAACTAAATAAATAAATGTGTAGCCCTCGGAGGTGCGGGATTTCATCTCTCTAGTCCGACGGGCAGGTTTTGCTTTGTTTCCCGTGGATTCGGTAGATTCGCGGCACTCTGGTCTGCAGACAGAAGGCTTCTTCGGCACCTGCTTATTTTCCTTTCTTCTAACAAGGAGATTACGTTCTAAATAAACAAAACAGACAGGTGAATGCAATCCAAGCTTCTGCTGGGTTTTCTGATTCTAACAGTACTACAAAATTCGCCTTGGTAAACAGAAAGAACATCCAACCTGTCTGTCAAAAACTCTGGCCATTTCTAGGACACCTTTGCCAAACTGGAAGAGGAAACAACAGAAATTATATTTTTATACATGCTCTTTCTTCCCCTCTAAGGAAAATCTTTAGATCAGTGGTTCTCAACCTGTGTGGGTCACAACTCCTTTGGGGGTCTCCTGCATATCAGATATTGACATTACGATTCATAACAGTAGCAAAACTACAGTTATGAAGTACCAAGGAAAATAGTTTTATGGTTGGGGGTCACCACAACATGAGGAACTGTATTAAAGGGTCGCGGCATTAGGAAGGTTGAGAACCACTGCTTTAGATAAAGACTGAGTTACTGACCTCGTTTTTTACGCTTGCATCTGCCCCTTTGTCGAGGAGTATCTGAACTAACTCTTCATAATTATTTAGCACGGCCACCTAAAAAACAAACATCAGGGTAGTGTGCATAAGCCCGTCCCTCCCGAGGGAGCTCGGCAGCAGAGCGGGCCCAGCACACACAGGGACCATCGCCGGTCCCCAGAAGCATCCTCAGAAAGGCCAAGCTGCCAGCCCGTAGTGGCTCTGTGCCCCAGGCCTGCGCAGTGCTCGCTCTGCACGGGAGCAGTGCAAGGAAAATGAAGATGGAATCTCCCTGCCTCCACCCCAAAATGGCAGGAGAGATGCTAGGCCAGACTGGCACAAAAAGCAGCATGTTCTTTGTTTCACCAGATCTGTTTTGATCCCAGAATGGCCCCAGGGGCAAGGGTTGGTAATCCTTAAAGAAATGGTTGGAAAAAAAAATTTCTTTTATATATACATATATATACACACACATACATATATATATATATATATAATGTGACATTCTCATGTCTTTTTTAATGGGTGCCAGGGAATACACAATCAAAACCCAGGGCTCATATGGAGCCAAGTTCACAAGGGTTATCTAACTATGGAATGAACTCTGACCTTCATTCCACACACACAGCAGGCTCATTTCCCGAGAAGGGCCTACCATGAGTGGTGTCTTTCCATCTCTATCCTTCACGTTCACGTTGGCCCCAGCCTCAATCAGAAGGGAGGCCACACCCTGGTTTCCTGACACAGCGGAGAGTCTCATGAGCGGTGTCCACCCGGAACCGGTGTCTACAACATCTACCTGTCGTGCCAGAGAAAGAGCTGAGTGCAGCCCAGTTTCTGATCCTTAAAATGACTCACACTTGGAAAAGGAATATCCACTTGCCCAAACTCCCCTCAGCTAGCAGACTGTCTGGAGTTGGGAGGTGGTAACTGCACTCTGCTAATTTAACCTGGGTTTCTGTGCAGTGAGGAGGTGTGTCAGGCTCACATTCAAGGAGGCTGAGGGGCCCTACAGATGCCCCATTGACAGCTTCATCTATATTCTTTGAAATGGAAAAAAGATGGGCTGGAACAAGACAGTAATAATATATGTGTGTTCACTTATATGTAGGAATGCTTATCAAGCTCAGGCAGGAGACCCATAGGTCTGGGACACAGACTCCAAAGTGAAAAGTTAGCTAACCTGATGCCTCCTCCAAAATCATAGTGTGCCCGGCAATCAGATGGCTATTTCTAATAATCTGTTGTACATTGGAATCTCTTGATTTGGTTTTTTAAAAGAAATGTGTTGGAATAAGAAAGCTGTACATTACGCCTCTTTCAATGCTGATGAAGACCCCACCATCCATGAAGAATGACACTGAGAGGAACATGCATGTGAGTTCACACACACACACACACACACACAAACCTGTTGCAAAGAATTACTCAAAGACGATTTGTAGGCTTTAGTAAAACATCAGAATGGAATAACCAACAAGGAGCTGCCAGGGGATCCTTGGGACATCTCCAGTTATTTACATGTATGAGATTATCCACGGCAATATTGCTAGGAGTGGCCACTCATCCTCATGGAAATAGATAACCTACAGTCAGCGGCCTCGGTTACATTTAAATAACAGTAAGCACTGCGTATCACAGGACCCTGTATACAGTTGTCAGGACACTGCCACCCACATGTTTTCTTTCAGTGCTCAGGCCTAAGGGTAGGTATGTTTATCCCTGATTTATGAATGATCAAACCAAACCTCAGAGAAGTCAAGGGCCTTCCCTGAGGTCACAGGGCTCATTATACATAGAAATGTGTCCCCATTCAAGTAGATCTGTCAGGCCTTGTATAAAGCCATTACATCGGGGGGGGGGGAAAGGGTGGCTTCACCCAGTGTGGCCCATTAACCCTTCCCCTCTCTTCAAAAGCATTAGTTGTGCCACCTACCAAGAACACAGAGAGACTCAAGCTGACATCTGTCTGCCCCAGGCCAGCCACACAGAAATCATTAGTGACACATTCATGCTTATTCTTCTGTCCTCTGCAAGACGGATCCAGTGCTCCAGACAAAGATGGAATTCATCCCATCGGAAGCCCTGAGCCTGCATTTCAAAACTCCGGTGTTTAAATGGTGATAGCAGAGACTTGCCCTATTCCGGATCCTTTACTGAAGGATCAACCTTCACTTTCAATAACAGACTTTTACTGGGGGCAAAGCCTGAGCAGGGCCCATGGTGAGCCAAACAAGCAGAGTATGACTGTCACTAGCACAGGTCCCACGGAGCCCCACAGGCTAAGCCCCTGGCCTCTATGCATAGCTCTAAAACCAACAAAGCAAGAGAAGCAATACATTCTTCCTGACAGACTTTCCCCATCAGGGGGCGCGTTTCTCAATTCCCCAAAATCGATGACAATTGATCTCACAAGCGGAGCCTCACTGTTCCTCAACCACACTTCAGAGGCAAAGCAGAGCACATCTACCAGCACCCTGGAGACACGACTTTCCTCCATGGAGCTGATTTTCCAGGTCATCGATTTTATTTCTCAGCACTGCCCCATCTGGCGAGCACCGTGGGCACAGCACTGTGCCCACCCCCCTTTATTTCCACACCCTGAAAGTCTTAGCTAATTTCTTCAAAGTCTCGAACTAAAACGTTTTCAAAGTTATCAGCAGTTTCCATAATTGATCTCATTCTAATTACCCATCTTCAAATATCTATGGAAGTTCAAACAACTCTACTTCTATTTGCTAAATCAAATCTGTACGTCCTGATAACATGAAATCCAAAGCAGACAAACATGCGGCTTCCACGCCAGAAGCCAAGGGCTAGAACGCTCTGCTCTTCAGACCTTCTGGGTGCTCTCTGGAAACTTTTGTAATGACTAATCTTTAAAGCAAACCAAAGAATAAAAAGTATCCACTTCTAAAAGCAACAGGAAGCACTCATACAGCTCTTAACGCCTTTGTGTCTACACTGCGCTTCAAATATCTGGTACATGGCAGGTGCTCCATGAATCTTTCATGACAGACTAAACGAAAAGACAAGTGAAAAAATGAACACAGGAGTAACGAGCCAAGTACAGGCATCAGAGCCAGCACAGAATTCAGCCCCATTTCCTTTTCCTACATAGGATGGACCCCATGATGATCTAAAGCCTCCCGATCATATCAATTCTATAATGAGCTCTGTTTCCAAGGCCTCAGAGGCGTTCTAGCTGAGAAGTCAGAGCAGCGTTTCTAAGTTCAAGTAGCCAAAGGCCCCGCTTCTCCTGGACCCCAGGGAGCAGCCCCCGTACCGCACAGCCGTCCTTTATCATCCACTCGATCACGTGGCAGTGGCCTCCGTCGATGGCCCAGTGCATAGCTGTGCAGCCGCCCAGGTCTCGAGTCTCCCAGGAGGCTCCGTGTCTTCGCAGGTACCTCACAACATCCAGGTGGCCCGCGTAACATGCAAGCATTAGACTGCAACGTAGGCGAGAAGAGGCATTTGGTTGCAAGTGCGGCCACCAAACACAGGCCACATGTCACCCCACCTGGTTCAAACCAAGAAACCCTAACGTGAGTGGAAAGGCCATGTGACCGGTTCATATAAAATGTGCACGTGTCCACCAGCTGGTGAACCAAGGGTGGGGTGTCCATACAGCGGGGTTTTATTCAGCCCTAAAAGGGAAATGAGGTGTTGCAACGTGGAGGAAGCGGAAAGCGCCGTGCTGTGTAAAGATGCCAGACACGGAAACCCGAGCACTGTCTGACTCCACTTACACACGATCACACGGAAGAGCGGGGCTGGGAGACAGAGCCAGCGGGCTCGGTTGCTGTCCACTGAAGGGAAGGGGCAGTGGCGGTGACCGCTAACGAAGGCGAGGCTTCCTCCTGGGCTGACGAAAACGTTCTGGAGTCCGATATAGAGGCAGTTGTGCTATTTTGTGAATGTCATTTAAAAATGCTACAATGGCTCGGCGCCTATGGCTCAACCGGCTAAGGTGCCAGCCACGTACACCTAAGGTGGCGGGTTCGAATCCCCAGCCTGGACCTGCCAAACAACAATGATGGCTGCAACCAAAAAATAGCCAGGCGTTGTGGCGGGCGCCTGTGGTCCCAGCTACTTGGGAGGCGGAGGCAGGAGACTCGCTTGAGCCCAGGAGTTGGAGGTTGCTGTGAGTGTGATGCCATGGCACTCTACCCAGGGAGACAGCTTGAGGCTCTGTCTCAAAAATAAATAAATAAAATAAAATAAAAATACTACATTTACAAAATGTGTACATTTTGTGAATATCATTTTAAAATGCTAAAGTGTACATTTTTACAGTGTGTGAATTGTGTTATTTCAGTTAAAAATGAAGAGTGATTATAAATGACTGTAAAATACCAGATTTTAAAATTTCCATGAGTCCATGATATTTAGAAAAGAGAAAAAGGAAAAAAGATCTCATTTGACATTATTAGAAATAACTACAAATACTAAACCAATTATCTACTCTAAAAATTGGTATTTAAGGGGAAAACTTAGCCATTTACTTCGCCTTTATAAGACAAAATGTCATCCATCCAGGATGGATGAGGGGACACTCCGTTCACAGAAGACTGCCAACTAATAAATAGACAAGGAAACGCGGACTCTGATTCGCGACTCCCAATGAAATAATTGATTCAGGCAAGGATTGCCAGAAGATACTACAATTATTACAGAAAAGTTAATGGGGAATGACATTCACACAGTGTGGAATTATTACCCCATAGGTTTTCTAATTGCAGTGGGGGGACTGTATTTTTACAAAGGGGGGATTAGCTGTCACCACCCTAACAAATAGCCAAACCCGGAAAACCAACTGAGGAACAGCCGGCATCACCGGCTTCCTGATGGACACAACCTGAGGTTACAGCAGCAGCCCTGAAATGTTCTTGCTAATAAACGCTAACCTGAGCACAGTCACGCCTTTAAACCCATCTTTACTTTATTGGGGAAAAAAGGATAGATGAACAGGTGCAGTGCCTGCCCCACAAGTGACAATTAGGCAAATCCAGAACACAGGGCATCTGTGAGATAATCAGGGAGAGAGGTGGGTGAGGACGAATGAGGGGTGGGCAGGGAGGTGGCAAGGGAGAGGGAGGGAGGGAAAGAGGACAGTGCAGAGTAAGACAGACTGAAAAGCACAAGCAGACGTGGCCTCAGTGGAGCACGGTCTCACCCACCAGCCCCCGAGAAAGCTGCAGAAGGCCTTTCCACGGCACAGGGGAGACCCGCAGGTTTTATGTCACACAGTGGCTGTACAGGTCAGTGTCCTTGTTTGTGGGAGATGTGTACTGAAATATTGACGAGTGGAGGGTACAATGCCTATTACTTATTTTGAAATAGTTCAGGGGGAAAAATGGGCAAATAAAAATGTAGACAGAGAGAGAAACTGCCGAGCGCTGAGTGCTTGGGTCTGTGGGGCCTTCTCTGACCCTCTCTCACCTTCTCAGAATGCTTGACATTTCTCAAAATAAAGAGAAAATAAAACAGAAGATCTTCCCAGTACGGAAATTGTGCAAAGCAGCTCTCTGAGCAATAACTGGAACATCTATCACCCAGGCCAAGCCCAGCTGAGATAGAGCCGGGTATCCACAGCCCTGAGTCCACTCAGGCCCGGAGACCCCCCAGGAGCAGGAGCAGGCGCTCCAACCGCCCCAGTCAGGGGAGCTCTCCCTGCTTCCCAACACTCTGGGGCAGGCAGGCGTCCTCAAACTATGGCCTGCAGGCCACATGCAGCCTGCCGAGGACATTTATCCAGCCCACCAGGTGTTTTTGCCACCACTGCCTGTCCTGCTTAGCAGCAGACTAGTCCCAGGGCCCGCAGTCCGGCCCTCCAACGGTCTGAGGGACAGTGAACTGGCCCCCTGTTTAAAAAGTTTGAGGACCCCTGCTCTGGGGTCTTTAGAATAATCTTTGCTAAGGAAAGAACATTTCATTTGTAATATTACATTCATGTAGAACTCCAGTTATCTGGCTACTGTTCTTAAGTAATGCTTCTTTTTCTTATTTCAGATTAATATGAGGGTACAAATGATTAGGCTACCTTGTTTGCATGTCTAAGGTCAAGTTCAACTGTAGCGGAGGCCTTCATACAGGGGGCGGGCGTGCTGTATACCCTTACCTCGTGCCCCCTAGGTGAGAGCTTATCAACCTCCCCTTCCCCTTGTCCTCCTCCCCCCTCCCCTCCACTTGAATTTAATTTTCTGTTTCCTTTGTGTGGGTGTGTAGATGCTTATCCTTTGGTTTCATGTTAGTATTGTATACATTGGATACTTGCTTCTCCGTTCTTGTGATACTTTACCAAGAAGAATATTCTTCAATGCCATCCAGGTAAATGCAGACGACATAAAGTCTCCATCTCTTTATGGCTGGAATGGAAGGCCCGCCCCCTGCGGCCTGGCTGGAGGCGGCCCCTGCTCAGAGGCACAGCCCTGACCCTTCCCACCAAGTCTCCAGTCCCTTCTCTGGCTTTCTTCTCTCTTTTTTGACATATTATTTTTCATTCTCTCAGTATTATTTCATAGACTTTCTCCTTAAACCCTGAAGAAAATACTTACAGGCTAAATATTCTATCATATGAATCTATCTTAACTTAAATAAGTCCGTTATTGTTGGCCACTTAAGTGGTTTTCAGTTTTCACAATTTTAAATAAGGCCACAGGAAAACACCCTCACTATGTAAAATCTCATTTGCATTTCTGATTGTCTCCTAAAATAGAATCACTGTGCCAATGGACATGGCTGACTTTGGGTGTATATTTCCAGTTTGCTTTCTAGAAACTTATATCCCTTTACACGTGTAGCAACCTACATTTGAAAGTCCAGCTATTTTAGGCTGGGCCCGGCAGCTCAGGCCTGTAATCCCAGCACTCTGGGAGGCTGAGGTGGCCGGATTGCTTGAGCTCCGGAGTTCGAGAGCAGCCTAAGCAAGAGTGAGACCCTGACTCTAAAAACAGTCAGGTGTTGTGGCAAGTGCCTGTAGTCTCTGCTACTCAGGAGACTGAGGCAAGAGAATCACTTGAGCCAAAGAGTTTGAGGTTGATGTGAGTTGTGACACCACAGCACTCTACCAAGAGCAACAAAGTGAGACTCTGTCTCAAAAAAAGAAAAAAAGAAAGTATTGATATTTTACTTCACCTTTACCAATGGTATTATTTTCAATTACCAATTTGATAGGTGGAAATTCTTTTATTACTAACAAGGCTAACCATTTTTAATACAAATTGCTTATACTGATTCTCCTACCCATTGTGTAAACGTGTATAAACTACTGTTTTCTACTGTGCGTGGAGGGGCTTTTTGGAATGTGGATGTGCGTGTGTCTCCTCTGTACATTAACCCACCAGTCATTGGCAAATATTCCCTGAAATGATCCCAAACTTTATAGTTAAGTTGTTTTTAAATACACAATATGTGCTTAATCTTTTCCTTACTGATATTTTTAATGTTTTTATGCCTATCGCATTCCAGGATCAGATAAGTATCTTATTCATTCGTCTGGAATTAATTTTGGTCTGAGCTTTAAAATCAGGATTTATTTAACTTACTTTCTTCAAGTAGCCCATCCTCCCAATGCCCTTCTTATCAGTGTGCCTTGCTTCCATCATCACGTACCAACCTCCTGTGTACACAAGGCTCTATCTGAAGGTTTCTATTCCATTCTACTTATCTTTTCCTAACTATTTGTGCCAGTATCACACTTACTTTAGTTACTATAACTTTAGTAGGCATTTTAATAACTGTCAAGGCAAGTACTTCCACATTTTGATAAAGTTTCAGTAGTTATTATCGTCTATTTGTTCTTCCAGATAAATTAAGATTATTTTGACAGGTTCCCAAGAATGATTCCATTTGAGGCTGCAGTGAATCTTTATATTAATCTGAGAAAAAATGGAAGCTTGTATAATAGCCAATCTCGCTGTTCTGGCATATGGGATGTGTCTTTATTTTTTAAATCTTTTCTATATCTCTCAGTAAAGTTTTAGAGACTTAGTTTTTCATTTAAATGTTCTACTTTTCTTAGTCTTTTTATTCTACTTTCCCCAGAAATCACAGGTTTTCCGGAAATTTTCTTTGTCTTGCAGCTACCCTCTTTACTGAACCTCCTTATTAAGTCCAAGTATTTGAAAGTTAATTCTCTTGGGTTCTGTAGGGAAGAAGTTATAACTTATTTCATACCTTACTGAATTTATCAGCCTTCCAAAATACTGTCTAATCACAAAATAACAAAATACAGCTTGCATTTCCTACGTGCCTCTATCAGGCAGCAGTTTATACACTTTCCACATAATGTATCAAATGCTCAGGACCCCTGTAAGTGCTTCCGTCTATTTTTATCTTCTAGGTCATGGTTCTCAACCTGTGGGTCGAGACCCACAGGAACTGTATTCAAGGGTTGCAGCATTGGGAAGGTTGATAACCACGGTACGGTGAAACTGAGGTGTAGAGAGGTTAGTCGCCTGCCCAAGGCCACACACCACCTCCACAGAGGGGTCAGTATTTGACACCAAGCTCTCTGCGTCTGCCTGCTCTCATGGGCAGCATTACTCATTTTGAAAAGGGTTCTAACACTAAGAATGACGTGGGCTGACCATCTGAGATGGTCAAACAAATTGTGTATGTTGCAAGTCGAAGGGACTGTTCACTCTAACAGACGCGTCCTGCCTCCCATGTATGCGCCAGACGCTGTCCAAAGGCTGACAATACCCTTCACTTAAAAATAAGGTTACTCTTTAACTAGTAAAAAATGCTGAGTTATGCCCAAGTTTTGTTTTGCATCTATACACATACAGGTTTCACCCTTAATCTACTGCTGGGAAGTATAAGAAACGTCTTCCCCTGAGACGGCCTTACCCTCCTGTAGGGCCCTCTGAATTGGGGTGGAAGACATTTATAAACACCCACATGAACACAAACATACAAGTAGCTTCCTGTCTCTTCCTCTCAGGTTTTAGCAATAAGGCTGCCCTGTGTAGCTGTCCAGCTTCTCTCTGCTCTGGAGAAGTTCAAGGTTGTCAGCAGCACTCGCCAGTCTCACCAAGCTCACTGACAGAACAGTCAAGCCACAGAGCCCAGACTGGAGGTAATGTTTAAATACATTTTCTAATTTCTTGCATAGATATTTGTCATTTGAGATGTCCTGTCCTTGGTTTGATTTTAGTGGTTTAAATTTTCACAGAAGAAGTTATCTATTTCAACGAAGTTATCAAATCTGTCATGGATAGGAACATACCGTTTTGATTGCATGTTTGGGTTTCATCAATAACCATTTTATTGTCCTCTTTCAAATTTGTAATTTCGTTTCTTTTTACTTAGATTTACAATAGACTGGTCTGTTTTATTATATAGGTTTCTCCGAGGCAACTCTCACATTTCTCAATAATCTACTTTTAACTAATCAATTCTTTCATTTTTCCCACTCTCCTTACATTCTCTCCCTTTTCCTCTTTCCTTTTGAGTTGGTATTATTTTTTCTAGTCTTCTTGAGTTGATAGCTTAGTTCCGAAGTTAACATGAGACTTATTTGAAAAATGCTTTTTAAATTTATAAATGATTTCTAAAATTTTGTTTGAAATCTGTCTCCCCATTGTATACAAAGACTGGAGTAGGCAAGCTTTCTGATTCGAGAGATTAACGGGCATTCCCTGCTGTATATGACCAGTGTTCAGAGCTGTTCCTCGGACCTGGGTTTGCAGCACCCAAATCCTCCATCTGTGTGTGTCATGTGACCAGAAGAAGCTCCCTGACCCAGGGCTTTGCATTTTGCTCACCCTTCTACCCAAGCACCAAGCACCAAGCACAGAGCCTGGCGTGCGGTAATCACTCAATGAATATGGGTTAGAGCAAATTAGCTAATTAAATCTAATTACTAGATTAACATGTTATCTTTACACCTTTCAAAAACATGTTTTTGTCTATCTTTTGTAAGTACTGTGTTTCTTCCATGAACTTTTCCTATCACGCACTCAGCTGCCCAAGCATCTGTCTGCCCCATCACCTCAGAGAATTCTTCAGATGTATCTCTGATAGTGATGTGTTTGCTTCTTCAAATGCCCACGATTCTTAGTAAACAGAGCTGAAATGCAGTGAGGGCCCTAAGAGAGGGACAAAGTGCCAGGGACAGGCACGTACAGTCAAGACCCATTACAGAGCCGGGGAGCCCTCGGTGTGCACCATGCTCTGAGCTAGAGACGTTAACACAGATGATAACAGACACCCCCTGAGCACCCTGATGAGTGGGAGAATAAATGAACAAACCAGCTTTCGTCATCCCCATCTTTGCTGTGGGACCTACTCATCTCTTGGAACAGTCAAAAGAAACTAAAAAAAAAAATTCTTGGGTTAAATCAGAAACCCTCTGGGCACAAGCCTCATGATGCAATATGAACACGAGCACGTTGGAGGCCGTATCCCCCTCCTACCTGTCCTTGCCACTCCCATTCCGCAGATTGACATCAGCGCCGTTAGAAACCAGGATTTCCACAAGCCTGAAGGAAACGAACACAGCTGTAGCTGGACAGGTCACGCTGGGCACCCCCAACCATCCAGTGCAAATGAATCACACTGCATTCAAAACACCTCACAGCACTGCCCTCTCCATCTTCACAAACCAGCTGGTTTTATTATTAACCAGAAAACTATTTCTCCACCCCCAAACCATGGGCTTTTACCTTGCACATGAATTATTCATTAAAATCAAACTAAAACACATGAAATGAATTGGGACTCTTGAAATAGTTCCCTCTCCTTTTAATGGACATTTTTAATACATTCTCAAGTGGCATCATTTATTGAAAACACATTTATATTTTTTCAAATGCCATTTTAGTAATTAAAATATAAATGATTGAAAATAAGGTATTAGTATCAGTGCTGTCTCTGTGTGGAGTCGGTGAAAATCATATCTTAGCAACCTGCCAGGGGAGTTTTCCAGAATCTCCCTCCCTCCTCCACCTCTTTTTTTTCTTTTAAAGAAAAAAATCAAATAACCAGTTTTCCCAGGACACGTACAATACATGGCACGAGACTGAATGGCTACCTGTCTTCCTTAACACACGGTTATACATTTTCCATTCCCTCCTGCATATTGTGTGTCCAGTTGTGAAGAAAGAAAGGCAGCTGGGTTCCTCTCCAGCCCTTTCCCTCCCAGCCCTCTCCTGACCACTCACTCAGAGAGATTAGAGAAGAAGAGCCGTACCTGGTGTATCCTTTCTGGGCAGCAACCATCAGAGCAGTAAAGCCAAACTTATTGGGAACATCAATGTTAATGTGGCTTGGGGGAAACACAGAGAACAGAGATTAACGCACTCAGCACAGCTCCCTGTGGACTCAGCTGGTGGCTCTGGCAGGGCACAGGTGGCTAAAGTGGCTCATTTTACTGAAAATTCCAATTTCTTCTGGGCCATTAAGTGTGTGTTGTCTCAGACTGCCCTGCCTAATATTTTAAAAGATTCAAATTTATAGGAAGAGAAAAGTGCTATAATTTCACTTAAAATAAGCACTCCCTTCAACTCAAAACCGTAATGCCATCCACTAACGCGTCTCTGCCGAGCACAGCTTCCCTGGGTTAGCTTAGGACAGCTCCCTCATCCCTTCCCGGCACCGGCCAACTCCCCCCCACCGACCCCGACACCAGGCTACACTGGTGGAGACCCAGGCTTTGCCTTCCGGTCCCACCTCACCTACTGGGCATAAGTGACGTGGATTAAGGAGGAGAGCAGAGGTCTTAATGTCAGCTTAGAAGCTTTGGCTTTTTGTGGGCACCATCTCTGCTCCAACTTACAGAGCCCTAATTCACAAATTGGGTGCTGGCAACTACTGATTGGAAAGAAACCTGGACGTCACTGTCCACTTCTCACTGAGCAGCAGCTTCAAACATCCCCATGTATTCACTGTATTTCCTGTAACGTTTCATTTTAAATTAGAAAGCAGCTGATTTAGTGATTCCCTAAATTCATTAGGAATGGGATGTGAACACCTGGGGATGCAAGGTGCCTAAACACTGTGGCACACAATCAAGGTGCAGAAGTTATTCGTGGGAAGAAAAACATGACACTCAGGCTTGTCATTTCCCTTTACAATTTTCACTAAATAATTACAAAATTGAATTGCTTACATGAGGTCCGTGAGCATCTTTCTTAACTCACACCAGTCACCTGAGATCAGTTTTGGAGGCAGCTTCAAAGGTGTGGGAATTTTTAGGAAAACAAAAGAAAGTGCATCACGTACTGCCATGCACTTTACGGGCATTAAAAAAAACCAGCCGAGTTCTCTCACCCTCCTTGAAGGATCCGAACAAGCAAATCTTCATCATTCACACTGACAGCTCGATGAAAGTGCTCGCTGCTCATGGGCTCCCCTGAACAAATGAGACGGAAAGCAGTCATCCAAAATGTAATGGAGGAGCCTCATCCCAGCATCTCCCTCCCGTGGCCTTCCACGGATGGATGTTCCTCTCCGGGAAGGCACTTGGCTGCTCTTATTAAGTATATCTTACATTTCCTGCTCAACCACTTCCTTTACTGGAAAAGACTTTGTTTTCACATATTGAGAAAACGTTTAGACTGACCTGCTAAAGGACTTGGGACGTTTTCAAGTTACAAAGTATTGCTCTATGAATGTGATTTTGAGGGGCTGGGCGCGGTGGCTCATGCTTGTAATCCCAGCACTTGCACGTGAATTGCCTGAGCTCACAGGTTTGAGACCAGCCTGAGCCAGAGCAAGACCTCATCTCTAAAAATAGCTGGGTATTGTGGCAGGTGCCTGTAGTTCCAGCTACTCAGGAGGCTAAGGCAAGAGAATCGCTTGAGCCCAAGAGTTTGAAGTTGCTGTGAGCTATGATGGCACAGCACTTGACCGAGGGTGACAGAGTGAGACTCTGTCTTAAAAACAAAAAAATAATATGATGTTGATGTTTGAAAATAATCCTTTCAGGTTTCATAAGACTTAACACATGTCCCCTCCAAGCAAGGAGAACCTCAGCAGTTGTCACTGTGTGCTGGGTGTGTTTGCCGAAGGGTTGTCAAACCACTCCAACAACAAATGAGGACCAAGTGCTCTTAACATGTGAAACCGAAGCTTTCAGTTCTTCCCAGGAATATGACACACGTGTTGGCCTTGACCCCTGGCTTACCAGAGAGAAGAGCAAGGAGAAGTGTTTGAGAAAGATGAAATGAAAAATGAGGAATAGTGGGTGTGCTTCACGCAGGGACATGTTACCTCCTCAGGGCAGCTCACCACGAGCTTAGTACTGCAGCCACCTGCCTCCCCACACACCCGGCAGGCACTGGAGTGTGTAATCCCTGGTCTACATTATCTCAGAGGTCTCATGCATTCAACCCCGAAGTGTTTACTGAGTTGCTTACATGCTGAGTCTTGGGCTAGGTGCTGGTGGTCCCAGAGAGTGATTAAAAACCTGGTCCCCCTCAGTTACACTGTGCTGCCCACTCCAACATATTATTCTAAACACTAAAAGAAAACACCCAGCCCCTGCCCCATCCTCTCCCACTGCCCCCGGACTGCCTCCTAGGGCCCACCCCACAACCTCCTCCTACGGCCTAGCCTGCGGAGGTCAGCCAGCCTCGCTGTCCCTGCTCCTCATGGTGGAAGAGCTCTCTGGGACATCAGTTCTGGGGCACAGAGACTCGTCAGAGTGTCCTGGCGAAGCAAAGTGAAATGAGCAATATACAGACTAGGAGAACAGTGGGACAGAAGAATAAAGGCATCTCTATGAGAACGGCCTTTACCCCTTCCTTTTTCTGATTAAAAAAAAAAAAATTAGGCCAAATTTAATTATTTTGAAATAACAGTTCTGTCAGTTAGAACTTGCCAATCTATTAAAGATTTGTTTAGCCACATTATGTTTCCTTTTTGTCATGCCACATGTATTTTTAAACCAAAAGCTTCAAATAAAAGTATCACAATGAACCATCAAAGGCCACGGCCCCACCTGTCCCTGGCCTTCCAAAGGAGGTCATGCCCAGTCCAGTGGCTTCACTTTGGGGCTGAGGAAGGAGGCAGGGTTTACACCCCAGTGGTCACTTGCCATTGTCTGGTGGCATTTTGGTTGTCACAACTTAGGGCAGTGGTTCTCAACCTTCCTAATGCTACTTCGATGCTACTTCAATAATTTTACGGTTGGGGGCCACCACAACATGAGGAACTGTATTAAAGGTTCACAGCATTAGGAAGGTTGAGAACCACTGACTTAGGGGATGTTGCTACTGGCCTCTAGCAGATAAGAACTATTCAGTCCCAAAACGTCAGTAGCACCACAGTTGAGAGCCCTGAGCTAGACTAACATGACCTTGAAATTATGGTGCGACCCCTCCACACTTTAGGTGGGTGGACCAAACCCACAGGTGTTTCCCGTCCCTCTGGCCACCCACAAAGATGGAAGGGGTGAGTCTGTGCAAGTGTCTGCAGCCCCACATCTGTGACTCTCAAGCTTCACCTGCCACTGAAAATATAAAAACAAGTCCTTTGCATAGAATCATACATAACAACATATAGAGCTCCTCCTGTTTCTACGCAGTGTTACAACGTGTGGTACCCTAACTCAGATCCTATTAAGCCATACACAGGACTTTACATAATGCTTTTTAAAGCACAGGACACAGAATCAGAAAGGCTGAGCTGTGCAAGGTCCGCCAGAGGGGCAGACAGCAGCAGAGTCAGGCCGGGTCTCTGGAAGGCCCCAGTCCCTCCCACGAGGATTTAGTAAATGCCAGGTATCTGATTAACTATGCACTTCCATTCTTCTAAATTCTGGATACAGACAAACGTCTTAAATAAACAGGATGCCCCTCCGGAAGTTAAATGAAAGGGGATACCTAAGAATCTTCATAAAAGCACTAACTTTGTGGAATCTTAAGCAAAGTTCTGAAGGCTCACCTGCCACTGCACCCCTGCACTGCCGCCTCCGTCCCACACCCTCCTCCGCCACGTAGGCTCCCTGGGTTGGGGGCACCTCCTAGTGGTCCCCCCCAGGGCATTCTGCAGGGCGCAGTGTTAGAGTCCAGGCTTGGCGCCTGTAGTTCAGTGGTTAGGGTGCCGGTCACATACACCGGAGCTAGCGGGTGCAATTCCACCCAGGCCTGCCAAACGACAATGACAATTACAACCAAAAAAACAGCCAGGGGTTGTGGCGGGCGCCTGTAGTCCCAGCTCCTTGGGAGGCTGAGGCAAGAGAATCACTTAAGCCCAAGAGTTTGAAGTTGCTGTGACCTGTGACACCACAGCACTCTACCCAGGGTGACAGCTTGAGACTCTGTCAAAAAAAAAAAAAAAATGAAATAAGTTCATTTTGTGCTCATAAAGCCTGAGGACTGCTTGTAGCAAAGACCAGGGCCTTTGAATCATGATAAATTAAAACAAATGTGTTGTCTATTCCACCTTCTGGAGGAGGTCACCAGCACCTAGCAGGTCATTCTGAGAAGAAAGGGCCACCTCACAGAAGAGAAGGAAACAACGAAACTGGGCATCATTCCTTGCTTCCCGAGTCTCAGCAAAGAAGAAAAGTAACCATCATTGTAACCATCATTTCCAGAAACAACTCTGATTGCAGGTGTGAGAGCTCTCTCCCGGCATTGACTCCTTAGCCCTCCTCACACTAGTCTAAGACGGACACGAGGGGCTGAGGGTCACCTCCAGGACCCACAGGAATCAACCAAGGCAAAGAAAAGCCTCACGTTTACGTGAATTTGACAAAGAGACAGAGAAGAAATGAAAAAGCCCTTGTTTGGAGTGTACAGCGATTCTTCCTACTCCCACTGGAGGCAGGAGTCACGAGGGAGAACAGAGAGGACATTCCAGGGTGAGCAGCCCTGAGTCCTTCAGGCCTGTGTGGGCCTGACCCTGGGCTGCCACCACCAAGTGCAGCTGAGCTCTAAAGGCCTTCGTGCCTTATTTTTCTCGTTGTTTTCCAGTGTTTCTTAGTGGTACTTGTAATTGAGTGTTGCGATTACAAACATCAGACTGGTCCTGGCCATGGAGAGAATGGCAGCGAACGCTCATCTCAGCTGGGTGGGACACAACCGCCCGGGGCCACGTGAGCAGGGACACCCACCAGGTGGGAGGAGAAGGGTCAGTGGTCTTGGGGAAGCCATCGCCCGTGTTCCATAAGATGGTCACTTACGGGCAGGTGTCCCAGCAGATATTATTATATGGTGATAACACCTTTCTTGGTGGAATGTAAGTCTTTATTAAAAGTAGTGAATAAATCATGAGCTCATTGGAGAAGGTATTTGCCAATTAACAAGCAGCAGCTGTTTTTCTTTCTTTTTAAGGGCCCAACTGATTAAAATTGCATGCCTCATTTAAACAAGAATCTCATGTACTTTACCTGGGGAAAAAAAAAAGGCTGAGAATCCTTTATTCAAACTAAGTACATGCTTTTGTGATTCATTAAAACACTCTCAAACTGAATGCAAATTATCAACCCACGGAAGCATTTTCACTTGCTCTGGATAATGTGCCCATTTCTAATTCTCTGTTTAGCATGATCTGCCTCCTCAAGAGAGTCTGCTTTGGATCTTATAAACACAACAATAGCACGGGGAGCGGCTGAGAGCCAAGAGCCAGCCCCAGCCGCAGGAAGAGAGAACCTGATTCCTCCCACAGTGCAGCCCTGTGAGGCTGAGCTGGCTTCCTGGTGTGGGTATTTATGCTCTTCCCCAGCAAAGAAACAGTCAAGACACCTGGCCATCACCATCGTGCTCTCATCCCCAAGGGAGGTCTTATCTAATTACCCATCAAAACCACAAAAGGGGAATGACAAGGGCCCACACCAGCCCCTCCCCCCAGGCTGCCTCTCCAAAGCCAGCTCCAGCAAGGAGAACCCACAGCCCTTGCCACCTGACAGGCAGACAGCTAGGATGGCATCTACCTTCCTACTAGAGCTCCAAATGGCAATGACACCACGTAAACTCTGGCCAGAAGGTCTGCACGCCCCTGCCCTGCTTCAGTGTGCTATTCAGAGGATGTTAGTGAACACCTGAAGCCCACTGTGGCTGGGTGAAGAATCCTGTTCCCCCTCTCCCTGGCCAGTGGGCAATGGATCCGTCTCCCAATAGACATGAGTAGAAGCTGAGAAAGTGAGTGTTTCCCTTTGTACTCTTTTTTTTTTTAATTATTAAATGATAGCTGTGTACATTAATGCAGTCATGGGGTAAGTGTGGTGATTTCATATACAATTTGAAATATTTTCATCAAACTGGTTAACATAGCCTTTATGTCATTTTCTTAGTTATTGTGTTAAGATGTTTATATTCTACTTTTAGAAAGATTCACTTGTACCCTTGTAAGATGAATGATAGAGGTGTGGGCCTTAATTCAGCATCATCTACGTTCCCAGGTGGGCAATTCATCACCCCATCCTTCAGGAGCCACAGTGTAGGTGGGAGACAAAATGGTAAACAAATAAGTAACACGAGATGCAGATAGTTATTCTTGGAGGTGGCAAGACACGGCTGTGTAGCTGAGAGGAAGTGAAGCGTGTGGCAGAGAAGGGGGCAGAATCACCTGCTAGCCCAGCAGCTCTCCAGGGAACAGAAGCAGGACCTATGAGTGGCCGAGGACAGGGTGAGGGCAGGAGACACTGACAGGTGGCCTGGGTGTGGGGATGGGGGCAGGGCATCCCGGCTGGATGTTCCCCTGGACGGTCTCTGCCCAAAGGCCCGGCTCCCTCTGGCAGCTCCTTCCTGGCCCCTCCCCACTCACCTGCCCCTCTGCTTCTTTGCCTTCCCCTGTGAACTCCAGGGAGTTCATGCTTTCAACTCCAGGAATGCTTTCAACACTGCCAGGTTAAGGAACAAGGCTTCTGTCCTGACCTGCACCTCCATAACGGGCCATTTCATTTCAAAAATCTCTGAAATGGTGCTTTTTCATAATTAGCTGAGCACCGCATGAGAATGTGTACAGAGTGGCCACACTCAGCATTATCCAAACTCTGTTTGCTCAACTAAGATCCCGTCCCCTGGAGCCATGTCTACCACTGAAGGTATTATAGGCTAACTCAAAATCTGCATTACCTTTAGTCCACACAACTGTCAGAATAAATGCCTCAAGGACACAGAAAGTATATACGGTACATGCCAAATGCTATATTGAATAAAACCAAAAAAGAACTTGACTCTCAAAAGGAAGATTTTCTTTGTGCAACAACAACAAAGAACCTTGCCTATGTGTATTCCCTGGGTAGGCCACAAAGAACGTTCTGGACTCCTCAGTCTTCACAACATTCTTGTTCAAATATAGCCCTGGATGTGGCATCTTTAAAATGTTTTAAAATACCAATCTCAGAAAATACCTTAGAGCTCCACGGGGACTAGGACGAAGTGATCACAGGCATGGTATCTGGCCTCTTTTCCCGACGCCTCTGTATGGGGCTCCCTCCCATAGTTCTCCGTGGACGGAGGCAGCACTGTTCATTCACCCTTTCTCACAGCACCCCCAGGGGCCAGATCTATGTGGCCAGGAAAGACACACATGTGGAGGTTGTCCAGCATGGATGGGACACTGAATGGAACTCCTCACCTAGGGACATCCAAGCAGACAGCCTGCTTCACTGTGTGGGGACACTGGCACAGTCCGCTTCCTACGACTCCACCTTGTCGTGGGAATGTCTACTAACAGGACAGTCCTGGCAGAAAAACAACCTCCAATTTCTGAAAGCATAGTTAGACTTCTGTTATGTCCTATGTCAGGGCCAGGCCAAGCCAGTAAACAATATTATCTCAGTCTGTCAAAATAGAATCATTTGCTGCTTCTGGTAAGGCCCAGCCAAAGGCAGAAGGTCTTAGCTCTAAGGTGCGTGTCATGGCCACTTATCTCTGGCTACATGAGAGCAGGGGCGGGTGTACTCACTGGTCGTAGACACTGAGATGACTGGGCTGTACTCAAACTCTCCAGAGGGACTGGTGACCTTCAGTCGAAATTTATACAGTGTCCTTGGCTCCAGACCTTCAATCACATGCTTCGAGGAATATCCCCTAGACAGGAGGAGACACATGGTGACAATGCCAGGCAACTTAGTCCGTGCTCACTGATATTCCTAAGAAGAGCAGGTGAGGATGATCTCTGAATTCCATCTATTTCCTGAGCAGACCTGATCTTGCTTCCTTGAACTTAGAATGGAGGACACCTCACACAGGGCACCTCTGTCCCTACCCAGCACAGGGCCAAGCCAGAGTCTGACACAGAGTTGGTATGCAAGTTTGTACTCTGGAGAAATAATCACATTCACCCATGCTATCCGTCCTCGAGTGACAAATTTTCACATCTGGAAGATGAGACAGGCAGCCAGATTGTATAGACATGATTTTCAAGTGGGGCCTTCGAGTGGGTGGGCAAGGCCATCTGGCCCGTGGCCACACACCTACCGCAGCAAAATACTAACACGGGAAGGACCGGACGAAGGGAGATGCACAACCACAGCCCCTTTCAGTGCCGCTGGGGACTCAGGCCACACACAAGAAACAACTCTGACATCATGCCACGAGGTTAGGTTCATCCAGGAAGGTCTGTGGGAAGTGGATGCTGTCATTTCTAGAACAAAAATCTGGTTAGAGCTCCCAGTGGAAGTCCACAGGCCTCCGGAGGAAAGAAGCACTGAGCCTCATTGTTTGGAGGAAGCAAAATAAGCCCCAAGAAATGCAGTCAGGTGGTCCGCCCACCTGCTCCAAGGAGCCTGGGGTCCAGCAGAAGCACCTCTGCTCACCAGACGTCCTCGGGAGCCCGGCTCTGACTGGAAGGCAGCGTCTCAGCCTACAGAAGCTGAGTCCTAGTGTTTCCCAACAGTACCCAAACCAGGCTGCCAGCAACCTGCCCTGGAATCTGGCCAAATTCCATCTATTCCTTTTCAAATCCTGTATCTACGTTTTTCTTTCCTCATATTTCAAAGGCGGGGGGGGCACTAATTCCAGCTACTTCTTCTTTCCTCCTCCTCCCTTCAGAACTCTCCTGAGACCCTGAGTTTACTGTTTGTTGTTTTCTCCAATTTTTTTCTGTCTCTATTTTTTATTTTATTCTCAATAGATACTCCTCTGAGGCCAGAACCATTCTCTGAGATTCACAACTAATTTTTCAAGGTTGTTTCTGTGCAACCTAAGTATTTTCACATCAGTTTCATCCCATGCAACTCAGCAAGCGTGACTGGTGGCCCTTGCTAGGGAGGTGCCGCACTGGGCTGGGACGTGGCCCTGACCTGGTCACAGGTCCAGGAGTGGACCCATCTCCTGCTGGTGGAGTGGCAAGAAGAGGGGTAGTCGTGGGCAGTGAGGAAGGGACAGCCGAGTCAGGCTGCACGACAATGCCAGAGTCAGCATCGTGACTAACAAAAGCTCATCTGAAAACGTGGCTTTAGATCTGCCCCAGGTGAGTGGTATTAGTCAGACAGCCTCGTTCTCAGACCCCACGGGAAAAGCCCTCCTTCCCTGAAGGAGCTGGCATGGCACTCAGAGTGTGGCTGGAGAACAACCCTGTCCCTTGCTTTAGAGGGAGGAGTAACCCTAACAGAGAACCCAGAAGGTCTAAGGCCAAACTCACCCCTGGAACAAGTGACCCCTCTGTTGTGGAGAGGGGCAGAGGGAATGAGACACAAGGAGCGTGCCCTCCGGTGCAGGTGGTCTGTGGCCAAGTGAGAAACAGGGAATGGACTTCTGTGACCGACAGGCGGAGGTCTCCCACCAAGCCTAAGATTGGGACCTACCCCCCGGGTCAGGAGGTCATGCAGCACTGGGACGGGCAGGGTCAAGGTGCTCTCACAGGGCAAGGGCGCAGGGTACAGAGGGTCAGGGCACCCTGGAGAAAGATGCCTCACTTTCATCTGAGACCTACAGAACCAGTTTTTGAAAACTGAAAAATGTTTACAAATCCTCCCTTTCCCATGATGTTTCTCCTTTGCTAGTTATCCACAGTGTGAAATTTCAAGGTGAAATCATGTCCTCAACGCTCATTGATCCCTTTCTCACATCACAAATTACTTCAGGGACCAAAATCTAAATGACTTCTTGGATGTGGCTCTAACAGAGCCCCCCTCCTGTAAAGGACTAAGCTTGTAAAGGTGCCTCTGACCAGGAGTCCATGGGTCCCTGCTCTTTGCTGGTGGACTCAGCCTCCTAACTGATGCTGTCTTTGCCTGAAGCAAGTTTCTCTTCACCTAAAAGTCATCACATGTGCTAGATGTCAGTCGAGCTGGCTTCCAGAAGTGTCTCCGATGCTGCAGGAACGTGACCATCTCCCACCGAAACAGACTCGAATGTGGTGGAGGTGGTGACCTGCAGCCCTGGGCCAGAGCCTTAAAATGCCTGGATGCTTTCGCTGTCACCCCTTGGACACCAGCATGTGAAGCTCAACCTCCCTGCCGCAGAGAGGGGCCACCTGGAGAGACAGAGTCAGTGGGAGACATGGAGCCCAGCCGGCCTGTGCTGTCTGGCCACCAGCTTAGGCATCACTCTGGAGGGGATCACTTGGCTCCTCCAGCCCCAGTACAGAGGCATCAGCCAGGACCTCGTGAGGCAGAGAGGAACCATCAACACCCTGCCTGGATTGTAGATCATCAGCAAAAAAACATGATTGTTCTTACTTTAAGCCACTGAGTTTGGGGTTGGAATTGTTATGCAGCAATGGATAACTGACGTATTCTGTGTAAACCAAAAAAAATCTGTAAGAAAGTCAAGGAAGAAATGGTACCAAGGGCATTAAGAAAAACATTTGACTCCAGATACCAAGAAAGTAGATAAATGTTAAAAATATAAATAGGCGGCGCCTGTGGCTCAAAGGAGTAGGGCGCCGGCCCCATATGCTGGAGATGGTGGGTTCAAACACAGCCCCAGCCAAAAACTGCAAAAAAAGAAAAAAATAGACATAAATACATTTACTATAAAAGTGAAAACTCTCAAACCAAGATACTCAGAAAAACTAAAAGATGATAAAAGTTTTTTAGAAACTAAAATATATCAGCCTGGCATAAAGTAGCCTTAGAAGTCGGCAGATTTTACTGGTAAGTGAGCAAAGGTCCATGGACGCTGAGATAGTCGAGTCACAGAAATTGCACCCTCAACAGTTTGTGGCATCTGAAAAGATCTTTAGAAATTCAATGAGAATAGAATATCCAAGTCTCAATGGATTTCAGCACAAGGTGTCAAAGACTTAATATAGTTTTAGACCAGAATAAAATCAGAAGTGCTCTCAATAAAATCCAGTATTGCTAAATATATATTAATAAGATCTCTGAGAAAAACAGCACCTTCGTAACCTCCAGGAAGGGAGACAAAACTGTATTAAAATCAGGTGTCACTGAGCACAGTCACCGAAGGCTGGAGACGCTCAGCACATCACTAGAGATGGCCCCGGAGAGAGCCCCAGAGACACAGCGGGGCCAGGCCATGCATCCACAGGGTTCTCCCGGTGATTACAACGCAGACACGGCCGAGGGGACTCACCGGAGCACCCGTCAAACCCGTGGAGAAGCACACTTTTACAACACCTACACGGCAGCTTAAAGAGTAAACACATCCTGGCACTACTTCCACAAGAGGAAAATACACAGAAAAGTAAAGCACACCCTTACTGTTGTTACCAGTTAACAAGTGACTCTCCGATGCAAGAGCCGAGCAAACACAAAAGGTAAGAAACTCATGTTGCAAAGCCCCAGGACCCAGACATGCCGCAATCCTCTTCTCTCTCCACACTCTGCCCCCTCCCCAGAATTCCAATCCAGTTTCATATAATGCTCTGAAATTTGTCTCTCCAGCCCAGACGCTTTCCCTGGTGCGTCCTTTTGCAGTGGTCTCCTTGACATCTCAGCTTAGGTGTCTGATGGTTCCCCACTGAGCCGCTGCTCGTCCCTTGGTAAGGAGAGCGTCTCCGTTGCTCTAGTTGCTCAGGCCAAAACCCTGGCGCCCTGTGGAAGACAGGATCATTGCTCACAAGCCCACACTGTGCTGATTTCCGAGGATCCTCCTCCCCCCTGTTGAGCTCAGATGTGGCCACATGTCCTGCTTTGAGCAGTGAAGTATAAGCCCAAGTGAAGTATGTCCCAGGGGGGAAGCTTCAGGGAGCAGTGTGCCCTGCTTTCTCTGCGGTGACCGATAGTGTCCAGGCAGAGGCCACTCGGCCAGCCTGGGCCCTGGCAGGAAGGCAGTGCAGAATGGAGCCTCGGCTGACTCATGGCAGGGACTTCCCAGGGGAAATCAGCCACGGCTGTCGGGAGCCACTGAGACTGGGGAGCCGATGCTTCATGCAGCATAACTCGGCCCAAGCTGGATGTCTCAGGTCCCTTGACTACCCTCTTGCTCACATCCCACGTCTGGTTCCCAGCAAGTTTGTAAAAATCTATCTTTAAAGCATTTCCTGCCTTCACCCACTTCTCACACTGTGTCATCCCCCACCTGAATTACTGCAAGAGTTTCCGAGCATGTCCTCCCAGCTACCAGGCACCTTGCCCCTACAGCCTGTCCAGCTCTGCTGCCAGAGTGACCCCTGAAACCCAAGCCAGACCATGGCTCTCCTCAGCAGAACAGTCTCCAGGGCTCTCCCCACCACTCTCGGAGTCATAGCCAAAGCTCTCCTCACACCCCCAGGTCCTCCCCAGGGGGCCAACTCTCCTCCTTGTTCACACCACTCCTCACTCCCGGCACGACTCTCTCACTCGCTGTTTGCTCCTCTGGAACGTCCTTCCCCCAGAGAGCTGTAAGGCTTGGGGCATCCCACACGTGCTTCAGGTCCTCACGCAGAAGCCACCTTAGGCCCCTCTGCCCTAAGCCCCTAACTTTCCCTCTGCTCTTCCTCCTTAGCACTCACCAGCTTCTGTACTACTCTTTGCCGCCTCATCAGGAGGGAGGAATTGTGTCTGTGTGTCCCTGGTGCCCTATCCCAGTCTCCTGAAGTGTCCCCCATGCAGTGGGCACTCAATATTATCCTGCATGCTGGTGGGGGGATGCATGCACGGCAAGGCCACCACTCACAGAAATTTAGGGGCCAGACAATAGGGTAGTAAAGGGAATTCTCAGTGGAGGTAAAATCCAACCAGGGCAGAAGAAAGGACAGGGGGATGGCAGACGTTTGTCTGACTGGTGAAGACAGCTCACACACGCAGAAAAAGCCCAGGCATATTCAAAGAGCAAAAGAAGGGCTGGGTGCAGTGGCTCACGGCTGTAATCCCAGCACTTTGAGAGGCCAAGGTGGGTAGACTGCCTGAGCTCAAGAGTTCCAGACCAGCCTGAGCAAAAGCAAGACCCCGTCTCTAAAAATAGCCAGGCATTATAGTGAGTGCCTGTAGTCCCAGCTACTTGGGAGGTTGAGGCAAGGGGATGGCTTGAGCCCGAGAATTTGAGCTGTGAGCTATGACTCCACACTACTCTACCAAGGGTAAGAGAGTAAAAATCTGTCTCAGAAAAAAAAGAAAAGGAAAATTTAAAAAGCAGAAAAAGGTCTTACTGGTGGGGGGGGGGGATCTGTGCTCAGAAACAGGAGGGAAGAGGAAAGGCAGGCCATGGGCACAACAGAGGGCAGCCAGTGTTAGACTAAAGAGCACTGGAGACCCACCAAAGACAATCTGAGAAAAGGAATATTCGGAAAAAATTAACACAACCAGATAGAGGGACAGAAGCAAAAAACAGAGATAAGCCCAACTCGTTCCAACCCCGAATACACCAGACAGGTGTAAGACCTGGGAGGGACAGAAGATGGAGCTTTCTGCTGTGGGTGGCACGCCCCTGCCTGGTGGGGGGAGCGCAGAGGGGATTCTGCAGAGGGACAGCCCACAAGACTCAGCACTGACGCCCAGGAGAAGCAGCGGAGGAGACCCAGGGCCAGACAGGGCTGAGGATCTGAGACAGACTAGCAACTATCAAGAACAGCACCTGAGGCTCGGCGCCTATAGCTCAACCAGCCAAGGCGCCAGCCACGTACACCTAAGGTGGCGGGTTCGAATCCCCAGCCCGGACCCGCCAAACAACAATGATGGCTGCAACCAAAAAATAGCAGGGCGTTGTGGCGGGCGCCTGTGGTCCCAGCTACTTGGGAGGCGGAGGCAGGAGACTCGCTTGAGCCCAGGAGTTGGAGGTTGCTGTGAGTTGTAATGCCACGGCACTCTGCCCAGGGGCACAGCTTGAGGCTCTGTCTCAAAAAAAGAACAGCACCTGGGAGTCAGGAGGAAGTCCCTACACCACAGTCCCACCCCCAGATAGTCTAAATCAGTGATTGTCAACCATGTGCCGCGGCACACTGCTGTGCAGTGACAGGATCTTAGGTGTGCTGCGAAAAGTTTTAAACATCATTAATTATTTTCGAAAGAAATTAAAAGCACAATAAGTATATTCCTTTTTTAACTCTTTTTTATCTTTTTTAATTATGCTGCGGGAGTGTAACTATAGGTTCAAGCGTGCCGTGAGGTTTAAAAAGGTTGAAAAATACTGTCGTAGAGGACGGCTTCTCTAAAGAAAGGCATCCGCTAGTTGTAATAATGTGTCGAGAAAGCGACGGAACAGAGCAGAGGAGGTCAGGTTAGCGCGGCCTAACGCTGCCACCTAGCGTCAAGCTTGGTGCCGCCACCTCCCCGCCGGCCCAGAGATGCCGGCGTCTTCCCGGTGCGTTCTCCGGCCTGGGGGCAGGCAGGTCGGTGACTGACAAGGACGCAGCCTCAGGCTGTGCCACATGGCTGCGCTTTCTCTAGGTGAAGCCGACCACCTGACCGCCCAGCAAAGGCAGAGAGCAGGCGGAAGGAAGGCAGCGCGGAGGACGCACGGCTGTGGCCCGAGGGAGACCAGGGGAAGAAAGATGTGTGTTCCTGTCGCCATAGAACTTATCATAACTCATGCTCTTTTATTAATATATGGAAATTACCTTCAAAGAATAACACATGACGCAATTTAAAATAATATTTTTGAGTCATCAGGCCAGGAATTACTTTCACATTATACCTACATTTCAGATCCTGCATTTTGGGGGTACAGAGAAACTTCTCAAACGTGAGGTCTACATATCATGACTCAGGCACAGCGGACGCCTCCCATCTGTGCCCTTCTCACAATGCCACCTTGGGAACGACCAGCAAAGCCACAGAACCGTTCTGCATCTTGCCTGCAAAATGCCCGCGTCCTGGTTGTGACGCTTCACTGCAGTTTTGCACAATGTCGCCATTAGGGGGGGATGGGAAAGGTATGCGGGATCTCTCTGGACGTCTTCCAACTGGATGTGAATCTACAGTTACGTCAAAATTCAAAGTTTAATTAAAAACCATACTTGTATCTTGATTTTGGTATTCTTGAATCACGGAAATAGAGACATTTTGCAAATGGTAAATCTATCAAAGGGGAGAAACCGGTCAGAGTCGACATGGAGACTGAGGGGGAAGGGACTTCTTGGTCACTCCTGCTGCCACCATTCATTCAGGTGGCAAACGGTGTAGGGCCGGCGTATGCCATCCAGCCCTGTCTCGGAGCCACGGGGAGAGCAAGTGGGAATCCCAGCTGTTTTCCAGTGGGTGTAAATACTGGCGGGGAGGTAAAAAACGAGCCAGCAGACAGGTAAAATAATTCCAGCAGAGCTAACAGTCATGGGGCATGTGACACGAGGTTCTGAGACACAGGACGCCTGGTGGAAGGAGGGCGCCTCGGACGGCCATCTGGGGAGGGGCTGTTTGGCCCGAGACTGCGTGGGGTGAAGGAATCAGCCACATAAAAACTGAAGGAAACAGGTCAGGGAAAGGCAACCAAGCAAGGCCCTGCCCGGGAACTGGCTCAGCCTGGGGGAGGCTGAGAGCAAGGGAACCAGTCTGGTGTAAGAGAGTTGGCAAGGCGCAATGGTAGGGCAGGAGACCCGAGCAGCCTGCCGGGGTGGGGGTGGGGGGGGGCCAAGTGGGGCCCTTTCCACATCCATGAACCCTCTGTGATGGGAACCTCAACTAATTTCATCAAACTCTCTTTTGATTCAGTCTCTACATTTTGGCTTTTAAAAATATACCATTAGAATTTTTCAGAAGTCAAAGAGGCTCTCAAAGGTGTAGAGGTTCAATTTCAAACTAATTGCTGATGCTTATTTTCCAAACCATAATTCATAAAAGGGCATGAATGCAAACAATGCTGACTCATTTCTTCCTTCAACTTCAGACTGAGAGGTGGCTTTTCAGAGACCACACGAACTCGGCTAGCTAACCAGGAAATCAAAGCAGAGTGGTAGCAAGTCAATGTTGCACCTACGTATAAATGATACCGTACGTGTGCAGCTTGGGGTCTTCCTCTTCGATGGAGAACCTAAACCACTGCTCCTGCGGCCCCTGCCGTTTGGCTCTCTTGTCCAGATCCCAGTATAACTCGATGCTATGATGAGTCACTTTGCCCACAACAGGTGGATGAGGCTTTGATAATGGTGGAATTTCTAAGAAAAAAAAATAGAAAAAGAATGATACAGGATTTCAGAACCCCATATCCAGAAGGAGGGAGATGAGTGGGGTGGTTTATAGCTGCTCAGCACTCAAACTGTTTTCTGCACATCATGCGTGCAGACATTTCCCTGGACCCTGAAGAACTCCTGGAAATATAAAAAGACACAACACTGAGCTGATGCAGGGAGCCGCCGCATCCTTTAACAAGCAGGCTGTACCGTGCCCATCCACTTCACGCATGGACCTCCCCCAAAGCTCGGCTACCATGTCAAACTAATTAAGTTGTTCTTTGAGCTGACAAAACTCAGTTTGCTGCTACAATCCTTCAGCAAACTGGCTCATAAACAAAGCAAAGAGAAAATTGTACATCTGGACCAAATCTCTGTAACACAGATGACAAGAGTTGACATCCTTTCTATATAAACAGCTGTTACAAACTAAAAACAATCCAGAGGTTAATAAACCAGGCAGAATAGAAGCAGTGTGCCAAACAGCAAAAACAATTACCCATCATAAAAGACAAAAAGATGTTCATATCCCCTTATATTCACAGGAATTCTAACAAGGGGGTCCAAGTTTATATCCAGACAGAAACTTAAGAAGAGACATCGTAACTATGGAAAATGACAGGGTAGGGAGAAGATACTTTCATATGTCGTCTGTGGGGGAATATGAATGACAGCGTTTTTAACAAGCACTCTGGAAGCATTTATTAAAACGAAAAATGCATACACCCTTCTATCCTGCCATCCACCTCTGGTAACCTCTTCTGCAGAAATCAGCACCAGGACACACAGGGACACACACACGAGGACATCACTACAATTTTTAGCAGTTTACAGCAAAAAAAAAAAAAAGTGATGAGCTATTCTTAGAGGAATGGGCAAATAAATTACGATGGTATCCATAACATGGAATATTATACAGCCTTTAAGAAATAAGTTAGTTCTGTAACAGATGCTTTCAAAGGGTCTCTGTGGGTATTGTTGGATGAGAAATCAAGGTACAGAGGAAAACATAGAACGTCCCATTTTTGTAGAAGATAACAAGGGGTCCAGTACAGTGAGCACCGAGTCATTCAGTGTGCATCTGCTCAGTGTAAAGGTAGTTTTTTGCCCCCTGCTACCTTTTAAGTTTCTTGAGGGATGGGTCCATGTCTCACGCTTCTCTTAAAACCTCTCCCTGTATCTCAGTGACTTTCAGCCCTCAAACATATCACCAATTTCCTGTATTGGTGACTCAAAAAGAAAGGATCTTGTACTTCCCTTGAGCCAATGCCCCATGTAGCTGACCAGCTGCCCTCTGCAGACCCTGGGGTCTTCCTACTGAGGAAGACAGGGCTGCCCTCGTCCCGCCTGCCCCAGACCGGCAGGACGTATACAAGACCAGCAATTTCCTTTACACTGAGGTCTCAGGGATATGCCAGGGGGCAGCCCACAAGCTCATTTTTCTCAACTTTATTTTCCAAATATGTATAAAAAGTACGATGGACCAAAAAATAACCAGGCATTGTGGCTGGCGCCTGTAGTCCCAGCTACTCAGGAGGCTGAGACAAGAGAATCACCTAAGCCCAAGAGCTGGAAGTTACTGTGAGCTGTGATGCCGAGCACTCTACCAAGGGTGATAAAGTGAGACTCTGTCTCTAAAAGAAATAAAAAAATTTTAAAAAGCATGATGGAATTGGATAAACCTGGATTTTAATACCTGTGCTGCAACTGAGTCAAAAATACTTACTTCAAAGTGTTCTGTGATAATTAAATAACATAGATGAGGTACCTACATAAATAATGTCCTCTTTCCTACAGTGAAATCGTATAGGGCAGCTAAAAGGAACTAGTCCCATGTGCATCAAGGTAGATAAATCTCAAGATGAGTGTGTGAAAAAGACATTTGTAAAAGGACAGACTATGTCATTTATAAGCTTTAAGCTTTCATAACAAACACCCCACCCTGTACTTTTTTCATGAATACCCAGGTATGGAGCAAAAGGTAAGAACAGTGCTGGACAGGAAGAATGTCCACCTCTTTGGAGACATAAAGGAAGGGACGGATAGGTTAAGAGGGCAGGAGATGGGCCTCACTACTGTAGCCCTAAGCTCTGGTTCCTTTATGAAAAGAATTTAGGACATACCATGTCACAATGTTAACATTTTAAACCTATATGGTATGTTGAGTACATTACTATTTGCAATACTTTTGGTTTCTTTGAAATGGTTTTTTTAAACCATGAAAGTAAATGATACGCATTACTCTTACGGCACTCTCGTTTATTTTAGAGAAACCAAGTTCAGTGTTTCAGATACTAACTGATACATGTGGGGACAGGAGCTAATGAGCTAGACACTGACCTTTGAACATGAGTCGTCTCATTTCATCCCAGCAGTTCTGGCTGCTGAGGGTAGTGATGACTCACCGGCTCGCGTTCTCAGGTCATGACACCATCGTTAAGCAACTCGCTTTCCTCCCAGAGCCCTCTAAAACCAAAGACCAGGACTAGCAGACTGTTAGGGATTCCCCCCAACACCAAATAAATAGAAGCTGATGATCATTTTGATTCCAATGACATCAGGCCTAGAATTCCACTAGAAGTCGGGATGGTCAAGAAATCTTAAATTCATGTCAAACTTCACAAGGGACAGACAATGGCTCGTCGTGAACTTCTATGAGGAGTAGGAAGAGGATGTCCCCAGATACACAAGCTTCCTCACGCCTTGCTCTTCACCAGTCCTTGATACAGGGAAAGCGCAGCAGGAGACCCCCGTCAGCCAGCCTGCTGATGGCCGCAGGACCCACAGCCACCAGAACAGGCACAGGCTCACGGCCAGCGGCCAGCTGCCTGCTGATCATCACCCCTCCAGATCTGGCGCAGAGCAGGAAAGGTGTAGTGTTGGAAAGTATTGCTTACTCTTTTTTTTTTTTTTTTTTTTTTGTAGAATGACCTAGGCACAACAGCACCATGTCCTCCCCACAGCGATCAGCGTGAGAGCACACACGTGAGAGCAGTGGATCAGCTGCTACTGAGCCACACAACCACACAGCGCTTTGCTCCCCACCCCAGGGGAGCAGATGGCGAGTACACTGACCATCCCTGATGGCCTCCATGGTCTTCATCTTGATGCAATATTTTTCAACATACAAATCACCACTTAGGCGAGGGTTGCTTTTTGCAGAAAGCTAGGAATGGCGGCTGGGACCTGGATGGTGAGGATACAAATGAATGTCCTCCTCAGGCAAGAGCTAACTGATTTGAGGTCCCCAAAGAGTCAATGCTGAATGAGACCAAGTGTTTTGCTTTCTCAGCCAAACCAGAGTAACTCGACAGGTGGGTTTCAGTTCCTACAATGTCAAACCTATATAAGTGCATGCTTTGTCTTTGATAATAAGTCTGGCATGTTTTCTCATAACCTGCTAAGTTAGTTTTAGAATCCTAAAATATGTATACTACCAGGGCACTGGCCGCAGTGCAGACGTCACTATGGTGAGGGAGCAGAGGCCTGGGTAGCACTGAGCCTTGGGAGGACGGACAGAAATGGCAAGTCACAGTCCCAGCTACGCAGAGAAGGACAGCAGCACTTCACATGTGTCCCTCCATGTAACCGTAACCAACTCTGCAGGTGTGAGAGTATTAACTTCACTACAAACAATCTGAGGCCCAGGAGGTCAAGTCACTTGTCCAAGGTCACACAGAAGTCACTGGCAGAACGAGGATTACAGTGCAGATGGTCTGGCTCAGGAGCCACTAACTTTTAGCCCTGTCCCACACTGCCTCTTGTGAGTGGGCATATGAAATATAGGCCTGCGTGAAAAATCTACTGTTTATCAGTTTCTTCTCCAAATTGCCACAGACTGTTCATCTTAAATCAGGTTTAACCTGTGAACCTTGAACTCCAAGAAAATGTTGAAGTGTTCAAGAAAACTAGACCCAACACCAGAGACAGTGTTTGAACCAAGTGTAGGGATGTGATGTGTGAGCCAAGAAGTGGAGGCACTGCCCATGGCGCTGCCCCAGCGTGAAGAGGGGGCGGCTACAGAGCCCTCAGCGACCACAAGAGATGGCCTAGAAAGCAGAGAGGTGTGGCTGGTGTCCCCCTCAGACACAGACGGCACGGGTAGGAAGCCAGTCAGGTGCTTCCCTGGGCTCAGTGTGAAGTGTGGAGGAGAAAAGGGGTCACATTGATGGTCAGGGAAAGGCCGGGCAAGCAGGGAAGTCAAGCAGCGTGTGGACAGCTCCGAGGCAGAGCTGAAAAGCTCCTCGGTGTGTACCCAGGGCAGAGAGCCACGTCCTGTCAGGAAAGGACTCTACGGAGAACTTACTACAAAGATACGCACAAGTCCCTCTATTTGTAAATATCTTCCCTCCATTACATACTGAAGCTGAAATTGCAAGAGAGGTAGGTGTGTCTGTGGCCACAGCCCCAGCTGCTGTACCCTGGGATTAATAAGCAGCATTGCTTTCCCAGGTGACCCAAATCGACATTCTGGAAAACAGAAAGCTAACTTTCTGCTATTACTTTATTTAACCAAGATGTTTATACCTACATTTATATTCATCTTTTATCCATACAAACACTCTTTGGGGAATTGTTCTCATAAATTTTATATAAGTTTTATAAAATATATCCAATGCATCCACAGACAGAATTCGCATGCTACTTTTTAATTTTATTTTTTTTGCAGTTTTCGGCCAGGGCCGGGTTTGAACCCAACATCTCCGGTATATGGGGTCGGCGCCCTACTCCTTGAGCCATAGGCACCGCCCCACATGCTACTTTTTATACAAGTTTTGGAACTCTTGTTTTTTTTCTGGTTGTCAGATCAGATCTTTTAAAAGGTGCTTGTTTGAGTCTGAAGACCAGTGTCCAAATATGACCAATCCCATAGTCCCATGTCAAAAACTCAGGCTTAAAATTTATTTTAACTTTTCTAAAGATTACTATAAGAAAAATGAGACCATCCACTCCATTTTGCGTGGTTCCTTTAAAAAATTGGTAGTACCTTTCCATCATGGCAAATTTTTCTTATCTTAAAGTTTCCCAAATAATGAAAAAGGAAGAACAACAACAGAAAACCCTACAAGTGGTTCCTCAAAGGACAATTATAAGAGGATTTATGGATGTGTTATGTACTCTGAAAGCTTTTATAAAAAAAGTTCTCACGCAGGGCAGACGCAGTGGCTCACACTTGTAATCCTAGCACTCTGGGAGGCCAAGGCAGGTGGATTGCTTAAGCTCACAAGTTCGAGACCAGCCTGAGCAAAAACACGAGACCCCCCTGTCTTCACTAAAAATAGGAAAACTGAAGCAAGAGGATCACTTGAGCCCTAGTTGGAGGTTGCTATGAGCTGTGACACCATGGCTCATACCCAGGGTGACGACTTGAGACTCTGTCTCAAAAAAAAAAAAGAAAGAAACAAAGTTCTTGTGCAAATCTGAGAAATAAAACAATTTTATGCCCCAGGTGCCACTTGTCAAGGCTTAAATAATAGGAATATAAAACAGTGAAGGGTTTTATACACTGTCACCATTGAGTCCCCATGGTTAATCAGAAGATGGCATAAAACATGGCTCTCAGTAGATCAAATCATATTTAGAAGCTACCACTGACAAATTATAGGGTTAAACATGGGAAACTATAATGTTTAAGTAAACCACTATATAATATTAGGCCTCAGCATCTTAACCCTTTTTTAAAAGGATTGTGATCGGCTCAGCGCCTGTGGCTCAAGTGGCTAAAGCACCAGCCATGTACACCCAAGGTAGCGGGTTCGAATCCAGCCTGAGCCCGCCAAAGAACAATGATGGCTGCAACCAAAAAATAGCCAGGCGTTGTGGCGGGCACCTGTAGTCCCAGCTACTTGGGAGGCTGAGGCAGGAGACTCGCTTGAGCCCAGGAGTTAGAGGTTGCTGTGAGCTGTGATGCTACGGCACTCTACCCAGGGGGACAGCTTGAGGCTCCTAACTTTAAAAAAAAGGATTGTGATCCTATAATAAGAACAACAGAAATGCGCCTGTCTCAAAAGAGGAGACTCAAAAGACGCAAATTAGTAAAGAGAAAAAATCAGATCATTTGGCATTCCTACAATAAACACTTGACCATATTTCAAAGACTACAGAGAAAAGTGGTAATCACACCCTGTGTTGGAATTAGCGATTGTGATTAGTGTCACGAAAAGCAAAAAATGATAAAGAAAACAGCCCATGGAGTACGATCATCATTCAGGAAGGCTCACCGTACAGCAGAGCTGCAGTTTCCCCGCCCTTCACCGAGCACTGGAAACATCTGCAGCCCGGCTCCCAGCGTCAGAGGGCCTGGGATGAGGACCACAGCTCGCCAGGGGGAGCACGGTGTGAAGAAGTTGCTGTGGCCTCAGAGACACTCGTCATGGCTTCAACAAGCATTTATAGCCACCACTAATTGTTTGGGGTTTTTTGTTTTTGTTTTTGTTTTTTGCAGTTTTTGGCTGGGGCTGGGTTTGAACCCACCACCTCTGGTATATGGGGCTGGCACCCTACTCCTTTGAGCCACAGCACCACTCGCTACCACTAATTAAAAACATATTTCAAATCACTGTGTTGTAGAGATCATAATCATTTCTACATTTGGGATTTTTCAAGTATCATAAATGTTTCCCATGAATACCGACTGAAGAAAGGATTTTTAAGTCAAATATCAAAATAGCCACAGAGTGATGACCATTTCTCCTTCCACTTAACCATAAAGCCGCTGACCTAAGTTTAACTCCTTGTTAGGATATTGCTTTTATAAAATAGGGTGCTGTAAAACCCTAACAGATGAAAAGACCAGGCCCAGAAGTAGACAGCCTAAAAAGTTTAAATGCAACAAGCAGTAAACAAATTAACAAAATATTCAAAGATGCTAACATCAAAAAAAGGGAAATTAGAATAACCGAGAGGCACCATGCTATTTATGAAAGTGGAACTTAAGATTGGTAAGACTGATCTACTCACAGGCTGTGGCTCACTCTGCACCCGCACAATTCCCTGCTGAAACAATTGGCCATATTTGACAAAGATTCTAAGATATCCCGCCTGGCGATCCTACTCCTAGATGTATATCCAAAGAAAAAAATTCAGAAACTAAACGCAGAAGGTTTAAAAAATGCTGTTATACTGTGTGTGCTTTTACTTTGCATTTTTAAAAAATTTCCATCACACAAAGTAGAATGAGTAGCGCGGCAAATCCCCTCCGGCCAGCTTCATCAGTTATCAGCATGACCACAGCCAATGGCGTTTCCTCTATCCTTCTGTCCCCACTTCTATCCCTCCCCAAACTTGGATTATTTAACAGCTAAATTTTAATGAAGCTTCACTTTGTATCAGATGGTGTTCTGAGCTCTTTCTGTGTATGACTTAACCTTGAAGTGCTAGAATTTTCTCCCATTCTACAGATGAGACTGTAGACACCCAGAGGTCACCTAATTTGCCAGGGAGGTCGTGCAGGATGCAGCACAGCCAGGATTGGAACCCAGGACACAGGACTCAGAGCCCGGCCCTCACCCTCTCCATGAGCTACCAGGTACCTACCTATGTTCAGTACACACACACATACACACGGTAACAAAAAGCAAAGAGAAGCACTTTAACACGACTGATAGCAAATACACATGCAAACAATATAACTGTCTAAGAATTTGGAATTTGTTATATATACTTTGATGCAGTATTTAAATGCAAGAATATTTCACTACTACAAGCACAGTAACATAAGCACATTTGATATGGCAAGGGAAGAATATGATATTGCACTGACACTAATTATGATATAAAATGTACAGATGCAAATAGAAAAAACAGGAAAGAATTTAGAAAAAAAAGAAAGAAGTAGTAGTATTACGGCATTATGGTAATTTTTTGGTCAATTTTATTGCTGTTACAGCATTGAATTAAAAAATGTAATTGGGCATATTTACTTATTCTTAACAGAAAAAAAGACCTGGCTGAGACAAACTACCCACCTGGATTTGTCCTTACGGAGCTTGCACGGATATGACAGCAACAAGTCTGACAAAAATAAACCAAGAACAAGTTACTGTGGCTGCCCCGTAGCCTGAGACATCTCACTACACTCTGGCTCAATTTACTGACCACTGT